ACTGGGAGATTTCTAAGATTACCAATTCCTGGGTCCATTGTTTAGTAGTGGCCAGCACCTAATTGCATACCTGTGCACAGCACTTATGGGAAGGGTGCTGGCTAATGTTCTGGGTTCAACCTGGAAGACAGAGGAGGTCTCTGTGCAGGAGTCAGGAGGGCTCCCCTTGAACCAGTCTGTATCTGGCGGACTGAGGAGCATATCACCTGTGTGGTGAAGAGACTAACCTATGTAACAAGCGTGTTGGATACAACCTGTGTGTGAAAAGTTTTGTTAGCCGTAGTTTTTTATTGTTTTAAAACGTCAAGGGGTACATCACGAAAAGTTTTGTTTAAAGGAAGAACCCGAAGTCGGTGAGACTTTACAAATGTTATGTTGCTTACAGAAAAGCTGTACTTTATGTTTGAAGACCCCTGTGAGGGAAACACCTGTGTGGACTTTTATGTTTAAGTTGATAAAAATGGGCAAAGAAGCCCTTAAAAAAACGTGGTAAGCGAGTGGAAGTGTCCCCAAAGTGCTACCATTGGAAGCTAAATCTCAAAACACTTACACCAGCACCTGTGTCAGTCATCCACTTACAAAAATGCACCCACAAACAAAACTCTGTGACATCCTAGTGTTTATTGCCCATATCATAGCCTATACGTTCCAAGTCCTTACAATTTCACTGTTGTATGAAAAAAATTGAAAAAAATTGTTTGGCCAGTTCCTGAGGGGCAAAAAGTGAACAATCCCATGGCATAAACACGGTTACAGAAAAGTCACATTAAAGGGCTGAAAGGTCATTAAAGGGTGTTTTACACACCTTAAACCAACAATGAGAAAAAAAATTGCCTCTTAATATGAGACAGACATGTGCATGTGTTGACTTTACTGGTTAAATTGATTTTGTATAGTACATGACAGAATATATACAATGCCTAATTACTTACCTTTTGTGTGTATGTTGCATATATATGTGGATGTACTTCTGACATGTCTAAATAAACAAGGAAAACAAAAAAAGGGGAATTATCCCTGCCTTTTCATATTTACATAGGGAAACTTACTTCCCACCTTTAAAGCAGTAATGGCCATATATAAGCCTTTACACCTACTTTCTTTAAAACTATTAGGTCACACTAGCACCATGCCATCCTTCTATCGGTCAAGGCTCCTTTTCACTACAACTCCAGGAGCCTCTCATCTTCCCCTTCAGCAGTAATTATGTGACCAAGTTTATGTGACAAATGCCCGCCACAAGACGAAGGCTGTAAAAGCTGAGATCTCCAGGACAGCTATTTCAGTCCTTGTATATTACTTTTTATTTATCCATCCCTGCAAGGCTGTAAAAGCTTTCAATTACCATTCGGATTTAGGTCGGCTTTAAAAGCTAGTAAATGTATAATAGATGTTTTTACAGTCTGAGTTATTCCTATATCTAAGCTTGTCGTGTATCAATGTTTGTTCACAAGGTAACATTAGCTTGTATCTCATTTCTCAACCTTTTTTCAGTCACAGCACCCTTTAAAAGTATGCAAAAATATCAAGGCACCAGAGTCTAACTCATTACAAAAACAATCAAAAAAGTGGGGCTCCTCCCTTCACATTGAAGTCCTCCTTCACATCAGGAGCCACCCTGCGCATCAAAACCCCCCTTTCACATCAGAATTCCCCCTTACATCAGTAGCCCCCCTTCACATTAGAAGCACCCCTCACTTTCACATCAGTCGCTATCTTAACATTAGTAGTCCCCCTTTCATATTAGAAGCCTCCCTTCACATCAGTGTCTCCCCTTTATATCAGACCCCTCTTTTCACATCAGACTTCCTTCTTCATATCAGAAGCCCCCCTTTACTTCAGAGTTCTATCATCATCCATATATTGAAGCACCGCTGAAAAAGTCAAAAGGCACCCTGGTTGAGAAAGACTGGCTTACATGCACCATGGTTCTGCATCTGATCCTATGACTTGTACTGTGACAGAATTTAAAAATAGATGGCTGAACAAGGCTGGTTGACCTGGTGTTGTGTGTGTGTTTTGCATGAATATTATCATAAATAAGTGTGAATATGAAAGTGCCGCATCTATGTCATTGTATTTTTTTGTTGTTACATTAACTATGTGCATATGAAGAATCCATCTATTTAGTCATTTTCAACCTTGGAAGTATCCCTAACTGCTATTGCCCTAAAGGTGAACTGCTCGATTCAGCAGCATAGAATGTTTTATAGCAATAGAAAAAAATAATCACCACTTAATTAATTATTGATCTTTGATTTAAGAAACTAATACCTATAAGAAACAATAAAGGAGTTGGGCTCATTCACTTGACCGATCGTAGTCATACACCACCCAGATCAGCATATTTCTGCAGTGGGTACGGCCAGTTATGTAGGTTCAGCTGCAGACAGGAAGCCTGCACTAATCAACGACAGGCTGACATTGTCTGCCTCTGTTCTCATGTGGCTAGGGACAGATGAGCTCTGTACACAGATTGGTGGGATGCCCATCTGTCCCTAACAGCAGGTATAACCCTCAAAGTGGGAATACATGTGGACAGCTGCGGAGCATGTTAGTTGGTCATTGATTTGTACAGGCTGAGCAGACACAGCTAATTGTATACACCTGGCACCATGGAAATATGCTAATATGGCTGGTGAGCAGCCATAAAGGGCCATGTGAATTAGCCCTACATATTTCTGCTTCTTAGCACCTCTTGAAGTTCTTGATCATATGGCAGGCATAGTTCCAATACTAAACAATCACATAGACAAAATTGCTTATATTGTACTAGTCTGCTTATTCAAACACTGAGCAAACACCACCATCACCAACTTATCTTGTGATATTATTGTGGACATAATAGCAATTGACCTTGAGAATCTAGTATGGTTGAACAACTGGCTAGGCGAGTAAGCTCTTGCCTAAAGGACAAATACTAAATACTTATCTGCAGTACCATACAACCTTGCAGAAAAAAATCACAAGTATGTACTGTATCTACAGCACATGAGTGCTGCTTGCCCTATTCATTTCTAGAGCTCGAATCATAATTCGATGGATGGCTGGGACTGAGTACAGCCTCAGTCATAGCAAACCCAACTTTGTGAAGAATCACTATCAAGTTATAAGTTATGCCATATCGCAGTAGTTACATTTTGTACAGTTTTGTACAGTTATACAGTGTCAGCCATCAATTACTATGGAAGGTTTAAGTTTAAAGTGTATGTATAGTCAAAACTTTTTCTTAGTTATGGATAGAGTAGGGAAGATTTAAAACCTCTGGTGGGTTTTTATTTCAGTCTGTGTCACTGCTGGTTAGACTCATCCTCTCTATTTGTTCTAGTGACCATTGTCGTGAGGTAGAAAAAGATGGAAAATTCAAATATTTACAGTAGTCACTGGAACAAGAATAAAGGGTAAATCTTCCAAGGGGCACATCTCTTCGGGTGACCCCTATCTAGGAGAGTAATTCCTTTCAGCTTGGATCTTCTCTAATTTTCTGTTGTGTCCTTGGACAGAAGAGGTCAGTCCATAACCCATCGCACTCCTAACCGGAAAAGATCCAAAAGATGGATAATGGGTGATGCAGTGACTGCGGATGGTGCCACTAGCAGATCACTAATAAGTTAAGAAATCACCAGCACGCCTGAATTTCAAGACTGTCAGACCTCGTTTATTGACATGCAATCAGGTCTCACAATGTAGGGCAATGTTTTGCAAAGCACAACGGTTCCTTCATCAGGCAAACAAAGAAGTGAAACACAGAAGAATAAATTGACAGGGGTTTTAACAATTTCCTACTATTTTCCAAACTAAAAAAAAGTTGACTATACATACACTTTGAATAGGAACTTCACCCCAACCCCATGCTTTTGTATGCCATATTACTTACTTTTCAGAGTTATCTTCCAAAAACATACTCATCCACTCAACAAATCCAGCATTGTCCTTAAGAGCCAAAGGTCTCTTCTAGGTAGCAGCCGCCAGGTGACATGCAACCAGGTCTACCCTTTAGCCGTTGTGTGCTTCTGCACCTTCCTGGGGATCGTGATGGGGATATCCAAGAAGGCTGCAGGAGCAGGAACACATCAAAAGGCAGGGGGAGGATTAAAAAACATGAAAACATGTAAACAACAAATTATAATTGATGGACTTTTTTAAACAGCAGAGGAAGGAGGGTTGCAGTGGGCAAAAGTCAGCTTTTGGAGTTAAAGTTGGCCTCATTCACACTGCCATACAATACGCTGCATATAGATGCGTGCAGCGTATTTTTTCCATATGCAAATAAATGCGTATATCTGCGTATTATACACGCGTGCACACATATACGTGCGTACAGTACATTAAAATTTCTATTACGAATTATGCATTCTGGCATTGCATATAGTGCACGCTACACGCATATATACACAATATAACATTTTGCTCTTGCGTTGTGTGCGCATGAGGCCTTAGTGATACCCTTTATTGGATAACTTTAGCTAACTTCAGTATTACTAGGACTCTAAACTTTCCACGTTTATGCCATATCACAGTAGAAAGTCACTATGTTTAGCCAAGTGTCAGCTAATTATTTCAGCCATACCTAAAAGACACTGTGATGTACATCTGTTCCGTACAGCTAGATAAACTTCAGCAGTAACATTATCCCTGAGTAATATGACATGCCTTGCACCAGCCCAAATAATTTCAGTGTAAAAGAAACTACAACAACATGTCACAAGCTGTAAAAAATGAGCTGGGACATGTGCAAAAACTAGGCCAGGCATGATTGTGGGTTTAATCTGAACTGTTTGCAGGAGCTTGTAAAAATATGATTTACTGCGCGGAACAGTGCATACTGAAAGACAGGTTACCCGTCACAAGATAAGTATTTACATAGGAACACAGCAGCCAGTTTTTATGAGTAGATGTTCCAGTGCATGCCAAGGGAATGGTAAATGGACAGATTCTTCTGTTTGGCACTTCCGGTTATCATGTGAGCACTGCAGCAGGCCAGGAAGAGAGCGTACAGTGTAAGCGTTAAGGCATGTCCTATTAACACTCTCATAAAACATTCAGTCACTGGAATTTTAATAGTGAGGGCAGTGAGTGATACAAATAATGGTTGATTCACATTCATCCATTAGTTTGTCCGAGCACTATCTAAACCACAAACCAGACAGAGAGGACAACAAGGCACTATGGATGGTAAGTCAATTGATTATTTTCTGATTTTGCAATGTATTTTAAAAGCATAGTGCTTTCAAAGATAAATGTAATATTCTATGGTGATATAAAGCTATAGACAGATCAATGGTTAAAGATAATTTAAGGTTGTTGTACTGCTTTATTGAAACAAAGTTTCCTTGTTCATGAAATAGTGTCATCTTCTAACTAAACCCACAGTGTAAAGGCAGTATCAATGTTTACAGACATTTAATTGACATAACAGCTATACAAAATACAATGCAATATAATATTATAGTAATACAATATAGCTGTATAAAAGCTGTACAAAACATAATATAGTAAACACACTTTAAAATAACCAGTGAAATGATACTGTATGTACACTGATATCAAGTATTAGGTCAAATTTGACATACTTATAGGTGAAATCACATGTATTAATTATTAAAGTGTATGTAAAGCCATTTATTTGGGATAGAATGTGGAGTTAGACGATTTTTTTTTTGCTGCCTGTGTCCCCACTGGGGAGATCTCCTTTCACCATTGGTCCTGGTGACCATGTCTCCAACACAGAAAGTAACTGGAAATCCATTCATTTGAGTTGTCACAGGCAAGGAAGGTGCAGAATGGGCAGTCCCCTCGCTTTTCTCCTCTTACTTCTTGCCATGTCTCTGGAACAGGAAGTAATGGGAAATCTCCCACACAAAAAAAGATTAAAAAAACTGATAGAGGACTCCCTAACAGTTTTATCTATCAATACACTTTAACAGGTAAAAAAAACTACTAATTATTTTACCTGCAAAGAGAACACTTGCATTGTAGTGAGGTATACAGGAAAGGTTGGGAAACTTATTCCAAAACTTTAAAAATAATCTATTTACTGTATTTAACATCTCCAGTGTTGTGAACTGTGAATGCAAACCGTTGCTGTATTCCATGTAATGCGATTTAGCAAACAAATAATTAAAATAAATGCTTCACTAGAAGAATCAGCATATATGATTGTATGTTGTTCACCATCTCCACCTAAAATGCTTCCTTATTATGGCTCCTTAAATTAATTTATAACAAAAGCACATTCTGGACTTCTGCAGTTTTTCTGAGCATATCCAGCTTGAAAAGTGAGTAGTATGCTTTGAAATGTTGCAGAATGTTTTTTTTATTATTATTATGCAATTTAAAGAACTTTAATAAAGTCATGTTTTATGTCTTTTTGTTGTGAAGTTTTGTTTGACTTTAAAAGAACTTTAATTAAGTGTTTTTATATATTGATCTGCTGGTCTGACGTATTGCAAATATAAGGAGAACCATCGAGTGTCAATGTATGTTGTTGGACCATAGTAGATCTTGGAGCTGTTTTAATCCAGTTGTATATTATATTCAAATTTAAAGTGGAATTATATGTGTTTGTGTTGGGGAGTGGGTGGGGGTGGGATGGCTGTGGTAGCATTTGCCCATAATGGAGGGACTTACCTCACATGTTGCACTCATACAGCATATCATTGGACAGCCACTGGTGATTGTTTGATATGCATGTTTTTGCTAAAAAAAAACCAGAGGAGTTTTTTGTGCATAAGAGACATACACAGAAGAACCCAAAAAAGAAAACTGTTAGTATTTGTTTTTAACTTGTGTTCCACTTTAAACCTATATTGAATGTGGAATTCTTAAAGTGCCTAAGATGACTTAGATTTTAGGGTTGCAAGGTTTAATCAATATACTATGGGAGGAATTTATCAAAACTGGAGCAGACAAAATCTGGAGCAGATTTGCACTGCAGCCAATCAACTTATCTGTCTCATTTTCAAATCTTACCTGAGCAAACTAAAGAGAGAAGCTGATTGGTTGCCATGGACAACTGCTCCAGATTTTGTCTGCTCCAGTTTTGATAAATTCCCCTCTGTATGTTTGGAGGAACAATATGGTCACCCTTGGACAGGAAGTGTTTTAGGACTGCAGAACACCCATCCCTCTCCTTATTCCTATAACATAGGAATTCCAGTTGAAAAACCTTAAAGGGTACCCAACATAGACAGTGACAGAGAAAGGTGGGCAGCATGATACTTCTGGGACCCACAAACACCTTTTTTTGACCAAACTATAAGGCAAGAATTGGTAGCAGATATTTCCATAAATTAGCTTACAATAACAAGCTCATATCTGATACATTTTATGTTCTGTTTTTAAAGCAATAAAGAATTCTAAAGTAGGAAATGTAGAGCAGCCTTTCTCAACCTGGGTTCCTTGTTTATAGAGGTTCCTTGAGCAGTGAGAGGTGGGAGAATAAACTCCCATCTGATAGTATCTGCATAATTCTGTAGCCAGTGCTAATCTGCAGAGCTGGTGGCATGGCACCAGTATAGCATCTCTTCTAATTTTGCTACGAGGGCAGCATATTTCACACGGACCACCAGTCATCTTCCCACTTTCAACTTTCAACAAAACTTTCAACAAAAGCAAGCCCTTCTTCACTACCCTTCAATGTAAGGTAGGCCCTTCTTGTACTAAATAATTGGGCACTTTTCTGCTGGCCACCAATGTAAGAGGGGTGCTTCTTCTCAATGGTTAAAAAGGTAGAGAAAGGCTGATCTAGAGGGTCTTTTCTATTAATGCTTTACAAAACTGAAAACTGGGTTCACAGATTTTTATGCACAAATCTATTTACATTTTGGGAATCTTGATCTCAAGCCTGTTTCGTATTCACTAGCTTGAGTTTATTGTCCCACATAACTTATAAGAAAACTAAAGAACAGAACCTACCAACCCTCTGGGTCTGGAGTCCACAGTCTTTATACACTATTCACACCTAATGGCGCAATTCCTGCTTTGGACCACAACAGGCCTTAAAGTGTATCCCATTTAAATACTCCCCCTTTATTGTTGCCCAAAATTTGCTATATTGGGAGCACTGTTATGGTATACTCTTTAAGGTCTGTTGTAGTCTGAAACAGAAATTGTTTTGGGTGTGAATTGCCCCACATAGGCAATATAAAATTGTCCTCCAAAACATTGCGGCTTCAAGAGATTTTGGCTTTTCAGTCAGGCTTTTGCATTGTCTGTAGTTGTGGCAATCTTGGTTGGGCCATTTCTGTCAAAGAATGTTATGGTATATTTATAACCAAAACTTTTCTTTCTTTTTTTAGTTTCACATAGAGTAGGGAAGGGTAAACCCTCTGCCCGATTGTTTTTTGCTGTGTGTTTCATTGGGTAGAGCTCCCTTCACTTGTCTAAGAGACGCAACAGGAAGTGAGAATAAATCTCCTTTAAGTAAGATAAATGTTCCTCTTGCACAGCTGTCACTGGGCTACATGCCCCGATTGGAAGACTTACTCTTACCTCTTTTTCTGGTGACAGCTGGAACATTTTTGCTTTCTCCTCACTTTTAGTTCTGGCGACTACACCTCCCCTACATCCAACATTAAAAAAAGTTTTGCTTTTACACTTGAATTACTATATACACATGCTGTATGTACTGAACGCAAAAATATAATGATTTTGAGGTTGGATCATCTTCTACTGTACAACTACTGTTTATAGTATATCACTACCAAAGTGATAGAAGTTGAATATGCTTAAAGTATGTTTATTGGATGCACTTTTGAAGTTTAAATTGTTCCCTTTTATCAGGGCTTAGTATTGCAGCATGTTTAACCTGCACCTAGAGTTTACCCCTCAGGATCTCTTGAAGTACATGCTTTATTCAACCATACTAAGCCCTGATGAAGGGGGATCCGTTGAACCTGCATTCACTTTTTATGATACAAGATCAAGATCTGGATTCAAATGTTATGCTTTTGGTGCTTTCCTCCTTGAACACCTAGTCGCTAATCAAGTAAAGAACCAACCTTCAGCCACCACTGCTAGGAGAGCTGTCTAAAGTTGGCCATATACTTTATAATCTCTGTACAATCGCCTTGAGATTTACCAAAACTATGCAGTATGAGGACAACCTAAACACTCCATTCAGTTTCTATCAAATCAGTCAGGTCCTTGCACTGCATAGTTAATTAAAGACTTGACTACGGTATTAGAGATTAAGTGCCCCGTGCCTTTCTTCTACTAGCAAGAAAATTGTGTGTACCCATTGGGAGTGAACCACCTTTACAATTTGCACTCTTTTAGAACCATCATCCAATGGGGAAATCTGTTCTAATAACAACTATTAAAGCTGGATAAGCTTGATACTTGTGAAGAAATAAATAAAAAGTGCCATCATCTATACACATTGCCCAGTGCATTTTTTTCTTCCAATTGATCTAGAGTGATTTTACCACACTAAGGGGTCTATTCACAAAGCTGCCGAAGGATCTGGCCGTAGCTTCAGCCGATCCTTCGGATGGCTTCGGCCCCAGGACCCCTTCGGTTCAGGAGAACCGAGGGGGTGCTGTACAGGCTATTCACAATAGCCCGTACAGCTCCCGATCACGGCCGAGCAGCTCAGTCGAGCGCTGAGCCGAGCTGAAAGCCGAAGCTGGCCGAGCGGCCGGCCATTGGCCGGCCGACAGCCTGGCCGGCCGACAGCCTGCTTCTGACAGCTGGGCCACTTTCTGCATTCGGCTATTCTCTCACTGCTGTTCGGGATCTTTCAGAATAGCCCGAACAGCAGTGTGAAGCCTGCCGGAGGTTCGGCTCAGCCGATCCAGATGTTGGATCGGCTGAGTCGAACTCCTTCTGCACTTCGGGTCAGCCGAACATGCTGAGCATGTTCGGCTGATCCGAAGCCACACGAAGCAAGCCGATGTACGGCTGATTTCAGCCGATGTACGGCTGAAATCAGCCGTACCAGCCTGAAGTGAATAGCCGAACAATGTTCGGCTCACTTCACTTCTGATCGGTCATTCACTCGGCTGCCCTTGGCAGCTTTGTGAATAGACCCCTAAGTATCTGGCACAATACTTGTTGTTGGCTGGATAATATAACATAAATCAACAGAGTTATTTCAATTGTATGATATTGGAAAGCTCCATGAAAATGCCAGTACTGTGCTGGAATTTGTTATGCTATAATTGCAAATATGTAACATATATATTAATAGTAACACCAGTAATTTGAATATAGACTGCAGAATTCAGCAGTCTAGCAATCAGCAGGATGGCACGTAACACAAGGTTTATATGATTACCTACTTTTAAAGACTGTAACTGTAAAAATTCCTGATAAAATAATCTGTACAATTAAAAAATGAAAAAATAATTGTTGGGCACATACTGATAAAAACTAATTTGTAGGCAGTGCAAGCCATGCAATTATGTGACAGAAGTCCATGTGGCAGCCATATTCAGATTTTAGCTAGACATGTGTTGTAGCTGGTTTTTATGATATGGTTTCACAATGATTTGACATTTTAATTGGGGCACTGGGTTTTATTATTATTCATACAAGTTGTTTTTTTTTTTAGTATACCTTGTTGAATTCCATATTTATGAATGCAAAACTATACAACTCAACATGTTTTATGTGTCAGCATAATGGCTGGTTGACCATCTTAGGATGCAAAGCAATCAATTTCCATTCTTTTCCTCTTATTATAGGTCATTGATGTTTATTTTATTTTATTTATTTTACAACTTCTGCAGTTGCATTCCTATATAACGACAGGGCCACTATTGTATCCTGGTAACTCTATTGAGGTTAATGTCTTTAATGATAGTATTCAGCCTATGAATTCCAATTTTATTTCAAATACCTTTTATTGATATCGGTCCCCGATTGTGCATGCAGGCCAAGCTGTCTAGCAAACATGGCAATTACTGGGGTTGAGACAAATGATATTACAAACAACTGCGTGATGGAATCATGTCAATATGGATTAAACTCTCTAAGGAATGTTTCCAGCACCTTGTTGAATCTATGCTACAAATAATTAAGGCAGTTCTGAATACAGAAGGGGGTCCAACCCGGTACTAGCAAAGTGTACCTAATAAATTGCCCAGTGAGTATCAATCAATCAAATTTCTCCCTTTATTAGTTTAGAGCAGCCTGAACAGTAATAATGACTGCTGATTAGTTGTAATCATTTAAATAATTATTTTGAAATAAGTCTCATTCTAATGCAGTGAGTGACTTCTGCATGTGAAGACTTCATATCACAAGCTGTGACATAATCACAATAACACTGTCACGCTGCACATTGGCATCACTGTATTGGCACCACGGGATGGAAAGTATTTCCTTTTACGCAACGTGTAAAGATATTTCTAATTATGTAACCTTACTAGTGAATTCCAGCAACCACAATGTGTAAATAGACAATATTTCCTTTGTGATAAAACTTCCCTTTTAGGTGAGTGTGCTTGTACACCTTCGCTCTGCCATGTGTTTAGGAAGCCTGGCTGATTGTACTCATCATAAAATATTATTCCTGTAACATCAGCAGGATCCTTAATAATAGTTTTCCACTAAGTGGCATGTCCTGGACAAGCACACGTAATACAAATCAATGAGGCTCATTAGCATCTGAGTAATGTAACAAAATGAGCATGGGCCGACTGGTACAGGATTTTCATCCGTGTCATTATGTACATTCAAGTTTGTTAGTTGATTCAAACACACATTCATGATCCACCAGCATTCTTCACATCGCACAGGAGTTCAAAGCAAGCTGTCATCTTCCTAAACAGATGAAAGGAGCAGTAAAATCTATTTGGTCTGGAAAAGGCTGGATCTTCCTAAGTCATTCACTGTGGAATAATGTTTAATCACACGTGGAAAGTGGAACAACTCAGCTTGGTTGCACAGCCTAAACCAATTATGCACTTCACGAAAGAGTCAGATGGACCCCTCCCCTATAATTATATACTAATTTAATTGTAAAAGATCTGTTTCTGCTTCAAGGGAACCGGTCACTTTTTTAAAATTCACTGTAGGAAAACAGGCACTGCTGATGTCTGTAGGTGGATTAGTTGCTTGGACCTGTACTTGAGATATGGAAGCAAAATTCAGATTATAACCAGCTGCCTTTGTTTTATAACAGTCAAATGTCTTCATAACAAAAAAACATGAATGGCAATTTAAAGCCCAATTTAATTTTTTTTATCTTTATAATCTTTTTCCCAAGCTTAGAGCAAAAATAATCATTTGGATGACTGTCCACAAGTCTTGCATCTTCTTTAGGTGTGTGAGGTGGGGAGGAGGTGCGGCGTGCAGCGTGTGTGGAGCCGTGAACAGGGCCAACTGATCGGAAGTCGATTAATCGATTATTGAAAAAGTTGACAACTTTTTCAATAATCGATTATAATCGATTATGTCGATAAGTTGTTGCAGCCCTAGTGCCACCCCACTTCCTGGTTAAATGACACCCAGTGTCCATAAACCACTTCCTATGAGCTTAGGCAGTCATAAAACACCCCCTCCGGATTAAAGGTTGGATGGATCATGGAGCTGCCTGGGTTCACTCTAAGTGTTACTGCTCCGTGTGTGTAAAACTGGCCATACACTGCTTAAATTTTCGAAAGAAATTTAATACAAAATAACTTTTTTCAACTTTCTATTAGTTGATGGGGTTAAATAGATAATCGATATAGGCCGTAGTGATGAAAAACCCGAAGGAGCAAGATGGAAATTTTTTCTCAAATTAACAAATTTCTTACACTGAATGTGGCTTAAACTCCATCCATTGCAAATCAAATGTTAGAATTAAGTGAAATTTCAATAGACATTTGTCAAGTGTCTGATGGCACTATCGATGGTAAAGAAGACCTTTTGTATAATCGTTCATTCAGAAATCTACTAGTGTATGGCCAGCTTAAGTTAGCAAGTCAAAGGCTGACTATCAGATGCAAAGTGTGGGGGGTCTCAACTGGAGGAAGCCAATCAGCCAGTGGACATTGGCACCACTTGAGATAGAACTCATCTCAGATACTTTTTAATTAATTTCTTTCAAATAATTCCCTGCGTTACTCCCACTCAGCTTGATCCCAAGCCTTCCATCAGTAATGTAAAGGCATTGTATGCAGGGAAGTGTAGTTATACTTCACAATAGAAGTGTAGCCACTTTACCCTAAGCAGGGTGACTCCTTAAATTTAGTTCTGCTAGACTATACTCAGTCTAGCAGATTTTATACCATGTGTTCATTTGGCTTTCCTTAAGTGTTCTGTTATTGTTTGCATCTGCCTGTTGCTGGGTTTAACTTTGCCAGAGAGCAGAGCAACCAATAGTGGAGTGTTATGGATATCTGTGTGTCTCCAGCTAATCACTAGAAGCTTAATAGCTAGTGGTGCATGCAGGTGGGGAGGGACATAAATATCTGGGTCTGACCATACAAGATTTTCTTTCCCCCCAGGTTATGTGTGAGCTGTATGCCCGTAGCCTGCAGGTGGTCAGGAATGAACCTGTCGGGGTCTGGGCTGGAGAACCAGTGAAGAACTTACGCTGCTTGAGGGTGCCTGAGAAGCCAGGATGGGCTTGGATCTCAGAGAGAAGTCTGGTGTCTCACCTAGGAAATTCTATGTTAGATCCTATGTTAAAATCTGCCAACCAGCTAAGGTGCTACAATACACAGTGCCACCGCAATCGATTTAAAGGCACTCTGTACTGTGAAGCTAGGAACTGGTCGATGAGTCTGGAGTTCTGTACTGCCCTAGATATCTGTAGCCCTTTGCCCTCTCTCCCATTTTTGTCTCTTCTAAAATATTAGAAAATCCTTAAAGTGACTGGCACCCAATGTTACTTTCACATCCCACAAACCGGCTAAGGACAGGAGGCGTTACAGAAGGTTTTGATGTGACAGCAATGTTAAAGCTGTCCAAAGCCAATGGTCAAGTGATTACAGGGGCATATGACTGCTACTTTCCTGAAACTCTTTAAAGTATTTCATATGAAATATTTCACAGAATACATACAGGAAGGTTTGACGGGAGAAAAACCAACAGACTAGTGACTTACTTTCAATCCTGATGAAAATGGCCACCAGGAAAAAGAGAGAGTGAATTTTCACAGGTGGACAATAAACAGAAATTAAAAATAGAAATAGTTCTAATCCTTCCCTACTGTATCTAAAACAAAAAAAAAATGGGCTTAGATGCACTTTGCACAGTAGATATCTATATTTTCTTCTACAAGTTTCTTCTACTGAAAATGACTGAAGATGTCAACACACAAGTGTGAACTTAGTCTAAGAGAGGCAGCACAGGGGTGCAGTGGTTAGCACTTCTGCCTTGCAGCACTGGGGATCCCTGGTTTGAATCCTGGCCAGATCACTATCTGCAAAGGAGTTTGCATGTTCTCACAGTGCTTGTGTGGGTTTCCTCCCACACTCCTAAGACATGCAGGTAGGTAAATTGGCTCTGTATGTATGTGAGATTTTGAGCTCCTTGAGGGCAGGGACTGATGTGCATGTGCAACTATGTAAGGCACTGTGTAAATTGTCGGCGCTATATAGATACCTGTAATAAATAAATAAGAGAGGATTTCCCCTCACTTTAGAAAGATTTCCTTTCACTTCTTTTTGTGTTGATGGGACAGGAAGTGAAGGGAAATGTCTTCATTTGGACATAAAAGACATACAAAACCTGCCAGTGTTTACAATAAAATATATATTTACTTGAACAATTGAACGTCTGTTGAACAATAAATATAATTTCGTTTTGTTCCCTTTACTGATTTAATTTTTGCTTCTTTCATGTTCTTGCAGAATCCAATAAAAAGGCCCATCACACGGATATGTATAACAGCTCTGAGCTGATACTACGCAGAGGACAATCTTGCAGATTAACTCTGGAATTCAACAAACCACTTCGTGACTGGCAGAGTATAGTGTTCATTGCACACACAGGTATCTTCTCTATGGCTTCTGCTGTGTTTGGTGTTATCTCTCTGATGGGTGTTGTCTCTGTAGTACACTAGCACCCTACCTGTAATGTTAATAGTATGATATGAGTAATAGACACTTATCCATTTTCTTAACATTCTGCAAGCAATTCTTGCCATTAAACACACATATGATATAATTTGGGCAGAACAAATATACAATTTTAAAGACTGATTTTATTACAGAGTCATTCACACTTGTCTTGTAGGTGCAATTAGGAATTCCTGCGTCAGGAACTTGCGATTTCCTGCAGAAGGAATCCCAAATCTGCCATTTAGAAGTGGTAGCTGTCACCTGCTCAAGTTAATGATCATGTGAAAGTGGCCGCATTTGAAAGCTGAAGTGCGCTGGCAATTTACATGCAATCAGGAATAAATCAATATCCCTGGACACATGAATTGCATGTATCGATTTCCAATGTGACCACTCTTACCCAATCATTAACTTGAACCGGTGACAGCTGACGCTTCTAAATGGCAGATTTGGGATTTCTGCTGCAGGAATTTGCAATTTTCTAAGGCAGGAATCCCTAAATGCACCTGAATGAAGCCTTAGTCATTCACACTTGTCTGTTTTTCTGCAGTAAAATCACTTCAAATAGAAATCTTATTCCCTGATATGTTGCTAGTTTAGACAGCGTCTATGCACCGCAATTTAGTTTGGTTTTTAAATATAGGATAGGAAGCATTTATGTGCCATTACATGTTTTAAAGCTCAATACCACCTTGGATTTAAGATTAAAATTCACTTCAGCTGGTTTTAGTAGAAAAAACATCTTTCACTGCAATACTTGCCTCTTTTCTGGCGCTGTCCCCTTTATATTTACTTTTCTGCCATCTAACAGCAGTCCTATTCAGTGTTAAAAAGAGAACGAGAGCCAAACCTTTTTTTGGCTCTAGCTCTCTTTGGGTTTATAGGAGTATATTTACGAATGTACTCCTGTGACCCAAGCTCCGCATGTAGCAGGCTACTGCCCACTATATGTTGACAGCGCAGAGCCACCACTGCCTGATTGACAGCTGGCTCTGTCTCTCTAGAGCCAGAGCCATCTGTGACCACCCCCTCAGCTGACAAATTGTAATAGCTGCAGTGTCACATGCCGGCTCAAAGTATTGGGAAGAGTAATTTTACTCTTCCAATTCTTCTCATTTGAATAACACTCAGTCAGAACATTGATTTTAGGCAGGCCTATTGGAGTTGGAGTTATGCAAATAACAAAATGCTTTAATAGGAGGATATAAGTGTGGAGAAGTGAGAGTTGCTAGACAGGATGCATTTGCATGTAGACTCCCCTATGTAACACCTACATGGGATGCTAAGACCTCCATGAATGGAAAAAAGTGAAATCCAATGAATGAAAGTGGCAGGTCAGTGACAATAAGGTTGGGTATTGAAAGGGCTAGGTGAAGCTGAACATCCTGCAGTCAGGAATTGAGGTGGGCCCTGTCTGACTTGTTGTGGCGTCCAATACACATTGTCAGAAGCTTACAGTGTGCAGTGAAATCAGAGTAAGCAATTTCAGTATAGGAGAGTCAGTACAACTGCACAAGACTGAAAGTAAGGCTGGATTTCAACTTTAACTTCCAAAAATGTACTGAAACTAAACCATCCACATAACCACTATATCATTGAAGTTGTTATTTTCACCATATCAAGGAAAATATTCATATAAAAAAGCTTTGTGAGTTTATCCAATCATTTTTGCAAATTAATTTTTCATTAACTGTTTTACTGGGGTAAGGTTTGTGTCTTTTGCCTGCATACTTTGTACCAAAAGTTGTCCGTCGTTCCCATATGAGAAAATGGGAAGGTACTGTATAAAATATGAATTCTTGTACTCCGCTACTTTTCACTGAATTACGGACCTAAACATATATGATATTAGTAATATACAATTTGTGCTTTCTTATATATTCTGGTATAATATGCATGTGTGTTTCCTTTTCAGCATGCATCCTATTTATTTCTTGTCTTTTGTGTGTCTTTGAAAGGTCCACAGAACTCAGGATATCCGAACACAGATGTGCAGTTTCCTTTGTCCAGTTCATGGAGCAGTGGCATGTGGAGTGCAGTTCTAGAGTCCAGCCCTGGCAATTCCCTGAAGATAATAATGTCCAGCCCCGCCAATGCAGCCATAGGGAGATATGACCTCAGTGTTCAGATCTCTGTGATGGGTCAAACAGTCACATATTCACTTGGCAAATTCATACTGCTTTTTAACCCCTGGTGTCTAGGTAAGGTCTAACACACTGGAACGCTGATAAAAATAAATAATTTAATATATATCAATTTCTTTTTGAACAACTTATATGAACATTAGAAGGAATGTGTGAAGAGGGGTTAGGAGACATTACTAATGCTGGCCGTAGAAGTAATTTACAAGGATCTTTACATGTATGAGTTGTATGTGATTAACAATGAGTATCTCAAAGCAATAAAAATCCTCAGCAGCAATTGGAATGTAACGTGGACAATCTTTACTGGCTGTAAATTCGAGGACAGTAAAATAAGTTATTTAAGCTAAACTTTAGTCAAAGAACCTTATAACCTTTACTGGTTCCCTGGTCACCACCATTAAACCAGCAAAAATAATTTTCTAATACTGTGCTGTTTTTTATATAACATATTTTAGACCCAGTGATGTCATCAGTGGGTCTTCTCACCTCTGCACTGGCCAGTGGGTGGGACTGGTGGGGTTAGAGATGTCAGTCATGATGGGTCGGTGTTCCTAGGCAGACTAGATTAGCATGCAGCCCACTATTTGTATGCCCACATTTGACACAAGGCTTCTGCAAATGCCAGTGCAGCTGTTCAACTACCTAAAAGGGACAAGCCACTGATAGCCAAGCTAGGGGGGTAGGGGAGGAAGTGATACAGCTGATATCAGGAAGTAGGCAGCTTCTATTGCATTCTCTGAGCTTGTTACAGTGTGCAAAGACAAAAAAAGCTGCTGCAGTCCGATCAGCAGAGAAAGCTGTACATTGGCTAAAGATTTAAGGTAAGACCGAGTGAAAAAATTAATATCTACAGGATTATTCACAAAAGGGTGAGGAGAAAAGGCAGGAGAAGTGAACAATCTGGGACAACATAGCTGAACTCGAGAGTGAGCTGAATGGGAGAATTTTTCCAAATCAGCTGTTTTGGCCTAGAGTGTTCACTTCTCCTGCCTTCTCCAAACTCTCCATCCTTTTGTGAATAACCCTGCTAGAGCCGAACACATTTGAAAATCATTACTATTTTTTTGTGTTGCTCAGCAATTGTTTTAGGAACCAGCAGGGCAAATTCATATTTCCTACACCTCAAGGCCAACTGACTTGTGACATCCTTCTCCCCTATTCCAGTCAACTAGCTAGATATAGTAATACACCGATGAGATCCAATATTTTAGCCACACAAGGCAAGTAGATGCTGGGAACATGAAGGCTTAAAGGAGAACTATGGGGTAAGTGTTTTTCCCCATAGTTCTCTTCAGGGTCATGGGAGGACAAAAAAATCTCTTTGGACCAACTGGCATATGATCAATGGGCATTTACATGAAACCTTTACCAACTTAGGCCTTGAATACTCGCTACAACCACCAAGATCTACATCCATAAACTGTCAATCTACTCTGCTTTAAATTAAGTTCTAGGTGCATGGAGCCAGTACAGTATTCCATCATCAAAGATGGACATACTACACAGGGCAGGGCAGGGCAGGGCAGGGCAGGGCAGGTCAGGTCAGGTCAGCAGTTTGAAGCCATTTTATACTCAGAAATATGTTATGCGTGACATCCCTAAAAGTCCTACTGGTAAAGGCCACAGGCTATCTTGACCAAGAAGAAATCTAGCCCTGAGAAGAAGCATACAGTATATAAAATCAAGAAAATAAACGATTTGGCAAATAACTGAATGTGTTAAAAAGTAACATATAAAATATACATTAAAAACTGCCTATTAAATCTGTTACATGTTCTGTAGATAAAATATCTACAGGGACATCTAGGTTTCTAAAATTGTAAAACTAAACAATGCCCTTGCCTTGTTTTAACACACACCAATTTGTCCTTTTTTAGGATGATAAAAGGCAAATTTAAAGCCCATTTATAGTCAAAGGAATAGATATGAAGTCAGACATTGTAGTAACAATCTCAATTGTCATGCTTACTTCTTATTTCCCATTACAGCAGTTTGGCTGTGCAGTCTAATAGGCACAAGAAGAGACTCACTGCTCTCAGTAATTAACACAGAGCTGGTCAGACATGATGCCTCCTCTCTCTGCGCAACAAGTTTGCATGAGAAAGCATGAATGTGTGAAGGGTGTTACTGTTACTCAGCTCTGCCAACACAGGGTACAGAAAAGGAGGATGAAACATTTTCAGTTAGACTAAAATATATTTTAAAGCACAAACAAGAATCAGTCTATTCATAAAATGCTGGAGCTTGACACTATAAGGAGATAAATAAAAAAAAAAACCTGTGGGACTTCAATTGGGCTTTAAATATTTACTGTATATTGAAGGCTCAGCTAAACCTGCCAACCCAGATGTGTTCCATATTTAAGCTTTCAATGAAGAGTAAATTTTAACTTCTTCTCTACAGATGATGATGTGTACTTGGCCAACGAAGAAGAGAGGCAAGAATATGTCCTAAATGACCATGGTGTCATTTTCATGGGAAATGAGAAGCATGTAACAGGCATGGGATGGAACTACGGTCAGGTAAGCTCATAACCGGCATTCAGATATATTAGCAGAATCCATTAAATATATTTCTTTATGATTTCAATATCCACTCTTTTTAAATACTGTATGTCTGTCAATTACTAATTAATATACATATGCACTGCCACAGAAAATTCACTAATATGAGCTTGTATTGTCATAGTCCTTATTGTGCAGCCAATAGAAGAGGAAGTATAAATTAAGATGGGATATAGCAGAACTAATGTCCCTTCCTAGCTCCTGCACTGCCAGGCTGCCTCTCTCCCTTTGTGCCCGGTGTTTCTGGGTCCAATGACGTCAGCACTGCACATCGCTTAAGGAGCAGCACCTACTGCATTCAGCGTGCAAGCAATGTTCCTGTTTGGCTCCAAGCTTCTATCTGTGGCCTTACTCCTGACCTGCTTTTTCCTTGAACTGTCCTTTTGTGTACTGACTCAGCTTACTCTTCCTGATTTTACTTGTCTGCTGCCTGCCCTGAACATTGGCCTGTCTTCCGGATCTCTGTCTTCTGCGTTGCCAACTCTGTCCTTGCCAGTGCTGCCTGAACACTTCCTGGTTCTTCTTCCCCTGCATGCACGAGTAGTATCCACACATTAACAAGAGTGAACCTGGAGGTCGCAACCGGAGCTCAACATACAGCTAAGGTTAAACTTCCGTAAGGGGCTCTCTGGCAGAATAGCCGTTGGTCATTTAACCCTGTGCCCTTGGAGATCCCACACCACCTGTTTGCTTGTGAGCTCACAGCCTTTGGTACTGTGACAACTATCTGCTTACAAACTAGACTGCAAGTCTACCATGAAATATGTTATGAAATCTGACCATGCACAATAAAATGAAGATGCCCAACCCAACTAGTTGTTGTCTTTGGATGACCTAGACACTTCTTGATATGGCCTAACACATGCAGTCAATGTTTAAAGGGGTAGTTGAGAAGATCAATGGGGTAGGGGAAGATAGTACCTCATGGCTGATAACCTCTATAATATATTTTTCTACACCAATTTATAGTATTATATGTAATATTTTTTTCACAGCCTCTTTGACTTACATGTGAATATTTGATGTGTATCTGTTATGTTTGACTTGTCTAGTTTGAAAATAATATTCTGAATATCTGCCTGGACATTATGGATAGAAGTCTGAACTGTCAGAAAGACCCAGCTCTAGATTGCTCCCAGAGGCACAATCCCATCTATGTGGGAAGAATCGTCAGTGCAATGGTAAGAAAGGATCACTTTGTGTGCAGAGATACTTGAAATATGCTGAGGCTGATTTATAAAGAATCTGAATGGGGGCTATGAGACAGTCGCGTCACAAGGGGGGTGCGGCCCGCACCCGGGTGCCACCATTGGAGGGGTGACACCAAAATGATTCACAGTCATTTTGGTGTCACCCCCCTCTGAAAAGTCGGGCGCTCGGTCATGGACCGAACGGCCCAACAGTATCAGGAGAGAGGAGGCATACCTTATCCCGCCGGGTGACTGTCCACTCCTCTCTCTGCCGGCGTCCATCACCAAGATGGCCGCTGGCAGGTATCAGCATACTGACGCGCGTGCGCGATCACGTCATCGCGCACGCGTGTGGTGACGTCATCGCGCACGCGTGTGGTGACGTCACGCGCATGCGCAGTGACATCTCGGCGGGGTGACACTCGGTTACCGCTCCGGGTGTCACCCACCCTCAGGACACCCCTGCTATGAGAAAATAACAACTCATCGTATTTTTCCTTATACAGGGAAATTTTCAGCGGATTTTAGTCACTTTCAACTAACTTTCATTTACAAAAAATGAATAAGAAACCAAGGCAACCTAAAACAAACTTTTAATGGTACTTTGCTTTGATTTTTTGCAACGTAACCTGGTGTAAAAGTGGCTGAAATTGTCTGGAAGTTACGGTGTCTGTACAGAATTATTCTGGCCGTCCAATATTTATTTATTATTGGTATTTATATAGTGCAGACAATTTACACAGCGCTCTACATAGTTGCACATTCACATCAGTCCCTACCCTCAAGGAGCTTACAATCTAAGGTTTCTATCTCACATGCAGGGCCAATTTAGACAGGAGCCAATTTAACTTCCAGCGTGTCTTTGGAATGTGGAGAAGCCCAATGCCCTTTAAGAATGCAAGACTCAGAAGTCTTATTGGCCTAGTGGTACCTTCTGCATCTGTACTACTGTATATTTAACTTAGATATCTGTTTCTCCCATGAGCTAGACAGAACAGTCAAAGTGTTGGTTATGTTTTAGATGAAGCGGAATTCTGAATCAAGTTTTACTTTTTTAGAAGAACGTTACATGTATGATTCCTGCACAATTACTTGCTTAGAAGAATATTACATCTGAATACAGCATTTCTCAAGATCTCAGTGATTCTCATCTCAACACATAACCAACACAAATGAGAGTTAAAGTGGTGCTATGGGACAGAACTGGATGCCTTACCTTGGTGTAATCCATTATGCAATATCGATTCAAATAGAAAACAGGTTTTTTTTTTTTTTTTGCTTTCACACTAAAAGATTCTGTTTGTGGACCTAGATCAACAGCAATGATGACTATGGTGTACTTGAGGGGAAATGGGAAAAAGACTTTTCAGATGGGGTAGACCCAAACAGCTGGAATGGAAGTGTGGAAATCCTTTGGCAATGGAAAAATGGTAACTTCAAGCCAGTGAAGTATGGCCAGTGCTGGGTCTTTGCAGCAGTGATGTGTACAGGTGAGCCATTGTTATACATTTTTCTTGCTGTGCTATATGTTCATAATTACATTTTGAGCAGAGTTCTGCATTGCATCTCTTATGGCAATCTAGTGCAAATGCCAGGAAACCTTGCCTATGCAGGGAAAAGTGACTTTGCAAAGGTACATCCCCTGACCCCCTAATACCCACCTTATCTGCACTTCCTTGCCGTCCCGCTGCTGGCAGGAATACCCAGCACTTGCAGGTATGGGGGAAGCATGTGACCTGTGACATTGCCCAGGGCTAGCAGCCAATCACAAGGCCTGAGCACATGACCATGGCAGCGATGTCATCCTTACCTCAGGTCATCAACAGAGCTGAAGAGCAAGGAATTAAGAGGAACACAGCTAAGGTAAGTTTATGAGGAATGGCAGTTGTCCTTTGCAAAGTAATCTTGCACTTCATGGTCAACAAGGAACATGCTAATAGGAGGAAAGAGCAGAGTGCAAGTCTGCTGCTCCTCTTTTCAGATTTCCTAGATTTTTAAAAGTTAACCCTTGCAGTGGGGCTACCCCCGCAGTGCAAGGGTTAACTGCTTGTTTTTCTGGGGTGATAATAAAGATGATATACTGACCCAATTCTCGGTCCTGCGTCAGTGACTGCTCACCTCTCTCCCCCTCTGCTCCAGTATGTCCCTTGGTGTGTTCACATCTAATAGACTGTATTAGATGTGAAGATGTCACGGGTCCTTAGACTGCCGGAGCCTAGGGGTGAAGAAGGTGCGAGGAACAGTCTAGCAGCCAAGCAGGATCAAGGTTTGGGTGAGTATATCTTCTTTATTTTTGCTCCCTGGACAAAACAAGCAGCTAACCCTTTGGCCTCATTCACACGAGAAAAAGCTCCGTGCGCGGCCGTATCGGGCAGCTTCTGGGAAGGACAGGTGCTGCGTGTGATTAGTATGCAGCCCCTGTCTTCTCTATGGGAGTACGCGGCCGTACGCTGCCCTACGCTCAACCCAAGTGCAGGTCCGTACGGGTGCTGGTGTCCCAGCTCCGATGCAAACAGGATCCATCCTGTCAGCGTACGAGTACGGACACCCGCACGGACGTGCAGGCCGGGTGAGCGTAGGGCAGTGTACGTCCGCTTACTCCCATAGAAAAGGACAGGGGCTGCATACTAATCACACGCAGCACCTGTCCTTCCCGGGAGCTGCCCGATACGGCCGTGCACGCAGCATGGAGCTGTACATGCCGGCTTTTTCTCGTGTGAATGAGGCCTTTCAGGGCAGGGGTAGCCTCACTGCAAGGGTTGACTTTTGAAATTCCTGGAGTTCCGCTTTAAAATAAAACATTACTAACTGCGAAGAGGGTTAATGCTGAAGTCAGCTGCCAAGCCCTACAGTGTGTCTGCATAGATTAGCAGCAATTTAAATAAAAGGTTTCATAGTTTGTGTTTGATGATTATAAGATTAAAAAGTATTAAATTCCTGAATGGCAAGACGAGAGTTTCATATACCGTATCTGAATCAATAGATTTTGGGTACATTAAAGGGTAAAGGAAGATTTTACCTTCCATAGTCACATGTTCAGTCTCAGTTTTGTAATAAGTGAAAATCTGCTTAGAAAGGTGAGGTGGAAAACTTGTAACGGTGCAGAATTTTATTTGGATATTCTGACCAATACTAAACCCACCATATGACGAGCATACAAATCTCTGTTCCTGGTTTCTATGAGGTCTGGTATTTCTGCCAGGACAGGGGAGCAGGAAATCCGATTCATAGGAGTGTTCACAAAAAGTAGACCCCCCAGTGTTGCAATGGTTGTCGAGGTTGAAAACGAGCACATTTTTATTTTTGGCAGTACTTAAAAATCATAGCTGGATGCTAAAATACAATAGTAATTTAAATACCATTACATTCAAAATTAAGTTATTAAATCATTTAAAAAAAATTATTGAGGGGACAATTCCCTTCTGAGTGACTACTCATTACCATACAGTGAGCAGAATTTATCAAAACTGGCAAGCAATCAGCTTCTCTTTTATATTTTTAAAACTAAACTGAACAAACTGAATAGAGAAGTTGATTGGTTACTGTGGGCAACTACTCCAGATTCTGTCAGTGTCTGCTCCAGTTCTGATAAATCCCCCCATGGTCTGTAACCCCATTTTAGGACAGACAGTCCTACTCATAAAGTTTTGCAAGTGCTAATGAAATCTGCCAGCACAGTACAAACAAGGTTAATTATTTAAAACAAAACTCCCCTTAACCCACAGACAGCGATAATTAAGCAGGATTTTTCTGTCCTGGAGCTAGCAGATAGAACACTAAAGTTATGCTATTTGAGACAGGTAATATTAGTTCCCGTTTCAACAAAATTCGGAATCCGAAATTCGTTAACGGAATTTCGTATTTCGGATAAAAAAAATCTTGTCATGTTGTTCAACCTCAGTCACAGGGGTAATATTAGTTTCCGTTTCAACGAAATTCGGATTCGGATCCGAAATTCGTCAACGGAATGTCGTATTTCGGATACATTCGGAAGCATTGCAATTCGGATTTCAGATGCATCCGAATTTTAGGAAATTCGGACGAATTTTGATTTGTAACGAAACGAATCGCACATGTCTATTTGATTGAGAACTTCATGTGTAACAAATATAAAGTAGGTGTTATCCCAATTTGTCCAACAGTCACAACAAGAAGTGAGAGGAAATCCCCCCAAAGTGAGGGAAATCCCTACTGGTCAGCAGGGTCACTAGAACTAGTGTCCCCATTGGAAGATTTCTCATCTATTCCTGTTCTTGTGACAACCTAAAATTTGACATTTTCTTTCATTTTCACAATCCCCAGGACACAAAGAGAGGCTGAATCTCCCTAATGGGGGCACATGCAGCAATAAAAACCTGACAGCTGTTCTAATTCCTCTACACATCTATCCAAAACTAAAAAACAAAGTTTTGGCTTCAGTTGCACTTTTAAACCCACAAAACAAAATGTAATTTATTTCAGCTTTCCTTAGATGTGGTGGCTGCACTAGTTTTTTATGGGAGGGCTTTTTTTTCTTTATTATCCCCAGGCTCTCCTGCCAGTAACACACTTCCTATCCTAGGGTGACAGTATTGTCAACCAAGGCTGCTCTCCATATCTAAGTTACAAACACCTACGTCTCTTCCCATCTCCATTACACAGGGGCGTCTCAAGGCTGGGTGACACCCGGAGAAGAGACCGGGTGACACCTCCCCCGCCCCCCTCCTGTGACGTCTTTGCGCATGTGCATGACGTTGCGGTCCTATTGATGCCAGGTGATGGATGCCGACAGAGAGAGGAGGGGACGTTCCCACTGACACTGACACTGTCGAGCTCTCAGTCCGTGACCGAGTGCCGGACTTTTCATAGGGGTTGACACCAAAATGACTGTCAGTCATTTTGGTGTCACCCCTCCAAAGGTGGCACCTGGGTGCGGGCCACAACCCCCGCACCCCCCTTGTGACGCCACTGCCATTACATAAGGGGAGGTGTTTTGTAGTTTACAGAAGATAGCTGGGAAGGCTGATAACATAGTTTGAGCTTTCAGTTTACTGAAAAGGAGGTGATAATGTCACTAAATTTATAGCAGGATCAACGATTGTTTTTGTTAACTTGCAGTAAATGTTCTTAACCTAAAAAGAAAACAAATGCAGTCATCACATCGAAGGACCAGTAGGCCACGGTATATTGTATTCTTGTTCTTGGGTTTAGGAACGCTTTAACGTAAACCTGTCAAAACAACTTTGCTGACAAGATGCAAAAGGGAGTGACAGGCTTTGCTCTAAGCCAATAAATCTTAGGCTGAATGTAATAAATCAACTCATCTTATCACTAAGAAGCACAACATGATGTACTAAGCTCTTGTCAAAATAGAAATTGTACGTTACTCTTGACCTTTGTTGGCGATCACCATAATATACACTAATTATATAATTGTCTCTTGTTGCATTAGCCCTCCGGAGTCTGGGCATTCCGACCAGAGTCATCACGAATTTCAACTCTGCCCATAACACGGATGGGAACATGATTATAGACATGCACTATGACACAGAAGGAAAGTTCCTGGAGCTCTCTGATGACAGCATTTGGTAAGTTGTGTTTTGCAGTAGAGCATGGGCAGGCAACCCCGCCACTCCAGCTGTGGTTAAAGCAGAACTGCGGGTAGGAATTCTCTTAACCCTTCCAGTGGGGCTTCCCCCCCACAGCAAGGGTTAAGTGCTTGTTTTTGTCTAGGTTCAAAAATAACAAGTAATCCTCTGAGCCAACTTTCACTTAGACTGGTACCTTCCACCTTCCCCTCCGCTCCAGCGGTCTAAAGGTGCCCATACACCTTACGATTATCGTACGATTTTTGTATGCGATCGACTTTTCGTCCGATATTCGTATGTGTGCATTGCAGTGTCCGACCGACGGTACTGTACAATCGTACAACTTTTGATGGTCAAGCATGTTTGAAAACTTTGCTAGATCGTACAATTGTCGTAAGGTTGCTGGCGTTTCCGTCCGTCAAAAGTCGTACGATCTACATTGCGCTTGCACTAACGAAAATAGGGCAAATCAATTACCGCATTTTGTCCAGGTGCTTTTCGTTATTACGGCTAAATTAATCTTGCGATCATCGGGGGAGGATGGGGCTGCCGTACGAAAATCGTACGACTATTGGATCGTAAGGTGTATGGGCACCTTAAGAGGGTTATTCACTAATGAGCCAAGGGATCCAGCCGTAGCTTCTGCTGATTCTTCGGCTCATTTCAGCTGCCTGAGCCCTTCGGTTCAGTAGAAGTAGATATATGAAACAGCGTAAAAAAAAAAACGCTTTAAAAGAGGTTAAAACTTACCTGTGTCTTCGCCGCACGCTCCCGTCCGAAAATTTGAAAAATCTCGGGTGACAGGTAAGTCTATGGACTGCGTGCACACGCATGCAGACTTGATGGGACAGGAAGTGCCAGCAAGCACAGAGGAGTCAGCGCTGGATCGGAGACCCGCAGCAGCGCTGGAGAGAAGCCTGAAAAGGACAGGAAAGAAGAATATCAGATTAAGAGACATCATTTAAGGTAAGTGCTTTCATTAACATTCACTAATTAACATTAATGTCACTTTAAGTTACAAGAATACAGAACATAACAACAAAGATAACCGTTTCCTGTTACAAAACATTGTTTTATCTGATAGTTTCTCATAAGGTATTATGACAAACACTGGGGAAGTTTTCAGATAGTGCTGTAATGTTCCTGTATTTGTTGGGTCTTAATTACTAAACCCTTTCCATGCCAGTAAAGTTATTGCACATATATTGACTGTAACACAGATAATGTATTAGCAATAACATGTAAGAAGGTGAGTAGTATATGCACAGAACAACCAGAAATAAAAACACAGCATTTTCTATCTGATCATCTTTCATTAAAGATTAACTCAAACCAAAACGTTTATTATGTTGGTTATGTGTTTAGTTGAAGCACTGAGATATTGAGGAATGCTGAATTAAGTTTTACTTGCTTAGCAGGAATACAGCATTAAACAGGAAACATATATATCATAGATAAACATGCACAAGCATAGAGACCAACATTGTACCACAGCGCCATCTAGTGCCCAAAATACATAGTTACAGTACACTAGCATATGCTGCTGCATTTCCAACATATTAAAGGGGAAATTCCACCCTTAAAGGAAGCAGATAGAGCAATAAAGCCTGGTGGAGGCTCTAAACCTCCCCAACTGTATTCAAATCAAGGAAAAAGAAACTTCAGGCCAGACTTTAAAAGTGTGTTTACTTTTTATGAAATAGATATTGAAATAATTCTACTTCTCATGTATACACTCCAGTCAAATGTCAATATTCACCTCTCTGCATGTTACCTGTACTGGGATCACCAAACACCAATCGCACAGTTCTGCCATGTAATCTTATCTCTACCAATATTACGTACCTGGAGGGATTCCCTTACACCTCTGGTCCAGATACCCCTGGAGGAGAGCACAGGGAGTGTGAGGGCACAGAGTGGCATGGGTGCTGGGAGTCCAGATCAAGTGACAGACTGGTAGCATGGTCAGGACAAGCAGTGGACAGTGGCTAAGAAGACAGGTAGCAGGCAGGGTAGCAGAGTCATAGTCAGGATGCAGATCGAGGTCACATCAGAAGATCAGCAGAGAGAAGTTGTGGTCAGGAACTTAGCCAAGGTCAAACAGGAGGAAGCAGAGGCAAGTCATAGTCAGGAACTAGCCGAGGTCAATAACAAGGAGGCAGAGAAGAGAAAAGTCCAAGGGCAGGCTAAATGAGCTACAGGGAAGCAAATCAGAAACAGGGTCACAGGGTAACATCTGAAGACCATCCAGCAACTTCCCAGCTCAGCCCTGTTCCTTAAATAGGCCATCTGGCACCATACCTGGAGTGTGCCCTTGTAGATTAGGGAGCTCATGTGAGTTAGCGCACTCGCATGAATTAGCCTGAGTAGGTGAACTAGCCAGAGTATGCAAATTAGAAAGCTCACACTTAAGTCAGCGCAAATGCAACTGGCTAGAGATGACTCTTATCCTGTGCATTGGTGCATGTGCACCTTGTCTTCTAATGGCATCCTGACAGTCAATCTGTCACTGTAGACACAGTTTTAAATACACTGCCAAATTTGGCTGCAAGGCATCATGGGACAAGTTTCAAGATGTTCTAAAATGTGTTAGCAACATAATGATTTCATTGATTCGCTGGAGCTTTTAAGCAATACAGAATGTTTACACTGCAGGAACTTTCATGTGTGGAATGAATCCTGGTTTTTAAGAAGAGACCTTGGCATTTACTACAGTGGCTGGCAAGTTCTGGATTCGACACCACAGGAGGAAAGCCAAGGTAAGAAAGATGGACAGATCCAACTCCCCCCTCTGTCTCTAAGGGCCACCCCAGCAGTTGTAAAAGACTGAAATGAAAGCTGCTCAGGTAATGATGTGTGGGCACCATTAATGCAGTAGTGAGTCTAGCTCAATGCAATGATAGCCCCCCAGGGTGGGTTCATAACAGCCTGGATTTAGAGGAATTATGTTGAATGACGTTGGCCACTATTCAAACTGGAAGACTGGTGATAACTAGTGGCAAAAAGAAATTACTATGCTGCATCGTGGGGGGATGGGAAGAGAGTCAAAAGCTTCTCATACCTACAAGTACCGGGTTCTGCACTATGTTCTAACAGGTGAACAGGTCAGTGGGGGAAGAACGGACTTATAAGGAGCTTCCCTTATAACCCTGTAGTTGATTTCACCTAGGGTAAATACCTATCTGCGGCCTGGTTCCTCCACCCTTTTGTTCCTCTTGAACAAGTGCAAAAAAAATTTAAGATGAAGGTTTCTTTTAAAGAGTTAGAAAGCTTTTAAATTTTTCTGAAAGTTTTTCTACCCTTTTTGCAACTCTCCACTGAGCTGATCTAAGATCTGCTGCATACTCATCTAGTTGTGGTACCCAATCCAGCTGTGTCCCACCATGATGTGTGCAAACATGTATAGATGTCACCAGCACACCAAAAATCCTTTAGGATCACAACGTGTTTATTTATTGTCATAAAAATAAGTGCAATAGTCTGATGAAGAGACCCTGTGCGGCCACGAAAGTGCGTGTTTTCACGACAAGAATCTTCAATAAATGAACAATCCTAAAGGATTTTTGGTGTGCTGGTTATATCTATACATGATCGCTGACATTTGCTGCGCCTTCTGCAGTCACTGCGAGCACCCCCTATTATATGGGACATTTGGTAAGGAGTGCCACAAGGAAGTTATCCACCATGATGTTTACCTCTGGTCAGCCAGTCCTCTTCTTACTGACTGTGCATGCCCCAAAGAACCCCATGGACTTCTAAGGGGGCCATTTCCGGATTCCCATAATTAACTTAAAATGTGTATTTATTGCTGTGTGAGATTTTCCTTCAAAAAAAAGATTTTCCTCAATTTCTCCGATAGGACAGATTCACAGAGAGGACATCTGGAAGTGAAATGTTACTAACAGGGCAGGGTAAATCCCAGAAGCCAGGAAGCCGATGCAACTTAAAATTTACAGCTGGCACCTAACTTTGAAGGTTTTCTCTAGTTGTTGTCAATGGAGCTGGCTCCGAAAAAAAATCCTGCTGGCTCCAGGATTCAACAGACTGGCTCCTGAATCCCATATTCATTTTTCCACCCCTGAAATAGGATATAAAAACCTGATAGAGCTCCTAGTCTTCTTCACTTTGTTCTAAACTTTAAATGAAACGTTTTCACTCAATGTGGTCTTTATCTATGAATAATACACACAGATTTTATAGAAATTCAGTTAAAGGTAGGGGACAGTATTGTGACAATTTTCCACACCACTCTTGAAGCGTTATTTAGAGATGTGAGGGAACTCCTTAAAAAAAAGTCAAGGCTTGAGGGCGGAGTAAAATTATTCCATTATTTATCAGACAGAGGAAATCTACTTAAAATAAATCCCAAAGGATTTTTTCAGCCGTCTCAGCCACATCTGTGGCTGAATATTAATACTGCACAGAATTCAGCTGCAGTGCCATCTGCCGAGTTTATTTTGCATTGCAGAGGTAGTTTGGCCGGTCTGGCCAGATGCTGAAAACAAATGCCCTAAAAACATTACTTGTCCTGAATAGTCAGCTTCCCATGTACCAAGCCATGTAAACAACTACTGGGCTGGTTGGGGTGGGAAAAGGTATTTAAAAAATTCCTTTTAATATGTTTTCCGTTTTTCATATACATTTCTCCAAACCCTACTGGAACCTTTTTTCATTAACAAAAGATAAAAAGCTCAAATCACTAAGTTAATATGATTGTTATTTGCCAAATTCTGAATTTTCAGCAATTTAAACCATCAAGAGCTGGAAATGGCTGAAATCCTGTTATGATTATGAGAAAAAACACACACGATACAGTGAATTGAGCCCAAAGTTTGCAAATGTTACAAGATGCAGCTTATGGTGCTATATCCTCACTGCAACTGACCTTTACAGTCTTCTAAAAGTGACTGAAAAGCACAGTAGAGATGAACCACTCCACCATTATATAGCTTCTGACCCAGCAGTGACTTACTTCTGTCATAGTTTTGTATTGTTAAAAAGCAAACTAGGTATAATCTGAAATGAACATCGCCATGAGACTAAAAAAAATATACATAAAAGCGCACAAATCCACAAAGTTACAAATACCATTGGGGATTTTGATTGATTTTGATTTTTCTTGATCTATAATAAAATAAACTACAATTACAGCATCAAAATTATGAAAAGAAAAATTACCATTATAATATGGAACTACATGCAACAAGATCTATACTCAAGGTATTGTCACCAGACCATCTGAGCCAGCTTGTTTTTAGACCGGTGTCTCGAGAGTCTCTCCTGCCGGTCTAAGGATTCTGGTGCCATCACGCTCTATACATTGTCCATAGGCTGTGTATAGACTTGAGGATGCCAAGGAGTAGTCCATCTGTGCATCGGAAGAAACACACTTCAGTGATATCAGGGAGCTGGCTTGGATGGTCTAGTGAGCATAACCTCTTTTTTTTTTTTAGCAGGTAGACAAAAAAAAAAAATCGAGCACTTAACCCTTGTAGTGCCGGGGTAGCCCCACTGCAAGGGTTAATCACATTTTTTTCCTGGAGTTCTTCTTTAATCATCTTGCTCAGATGTGTAAAGTGTACTAGAAACCTAAATCTAAACTCCATTGCTCTCTTTGAGCAGAGATCACATGACCAAATGTCTAGGCTTTATCTGAGCCATACTCAAAGGAACCTGAGAATTTGTCTAGTAAATAGCTCTTTCATTATTTTCTGATTATCCAATACAATATGGCTGTATGTTGACATTTAAATAAAGATCCATTTTATGCACAATATTCATATACATTCACAATATTCAAGTACATTTTGCAAATACATAAGGGCAACCCATAAATTGTACCTCCAATCCAGTAGCTTTTTGGGATATCTACAAGGCATTACTAGGCAGGAAAGAACAACTAAGTGAATTTTTATTTTCCAGGAATATATCAGTGTGGACCAACATCTGTGATTGCAGTGAAAGAAGGAGATACACACTTGGGTTTTGATACTCCTTTTGTGTTTGCGGAGGTTAATGCTGATCGAGAAACCTGGGTTGTTCAAAAGGATGGAACTAAGGAAAAGGCCCATAATGACACTAAATATATTGGCCAAAGCATCAGCACCAAGGCAGTGGGAAGTGACGCTCGGGTGGATATTACAAACAACTACAAATATCCAGAAGGTAAGATACAGATTGGAAGACTAGTAGTGTGATAGATCAGAAAATGTATCTCATTGTAAAATGGATCTCTATTAAAACTGGACCACTCTGTATTCCAAAGGCTGCTTGGAAGTGCCCCAAAGCCGCTAACATCACTGTTTAGCCCCGACCCACCACCGCGTGCCTCTTGGTTAGCCTACCTTCAGCTTCAACACGTTGCAAAACTTGTCATCCTCTGGCAACCTTTATAGGCCCCTCACCCCTTTTGAGAGGCTGCGGCTCTGCCGTTCCTGCATCCTGTCTCCACACACTATCACTCTTTGATCTCCATGACTAGTGGGTATTCATTATACTTTTTCTCGGCCTTGGAGCAGGAACTGGGGATCGTCCTCTTGAAATACGAACAGCAAAAAGTTTTCCCAGCACACTCACCAGCCAGCATGTAAAAAAACTTGTCTCACCAATAAGGTTAAAAACAGAGGTTTAGTTACACGTCTTCTGCAGAAAATGTGAAAGCCGCACAGCCACGTCAAGGCACCTCTTATAGTGCAGTCCTAACTCTAAACTATGACAGTCTCCATCTTGGAGCACATATGGCAAAAGATCAAATTGGGTGCAGGTTTGTCAGGAGGAAGCCCAACCTCCCTTAAAGGCACAGAGAGGCACAAGGGATCCCACACATCACAAATGCAGCTAAGACCCCCCATGCATCACCGCACCAAATCAGTCAAGCAAAATAAAGGGCAAACACACTCATCAACTTGTTACCAGCTTTGCAGCAAGGTGCACATGGAAGGGCCTTATATTTATTCAAATTTCTGTAAAACTGACAAGTTTTTTTGCATGCTGGCTGGGAAGTGTGCTGGAAAAACTTTTTGATGTTTTACTCTATAAGGCCCTTCCATGTGCACCTTGCTGTAAAGCTGGTAACAAGTTGATGGTTGCGTTTGCCCTTTGTTTTGCTTAAAATACGAACGCCGCAAATGCTTTGTTTCACACACACGCTCTGTATGTCATCCTTTGCGCAAGAACGGAATTTCAAGTTGTTGACCAGGTGGTAAAGGTCACCGGTTAGAATGCACCAAATTATCCCAACGCACTCAGACACCTGCTGGAGATGTCAAACTGAGCTAGGCACGCTGACTCACATTTGGTGGAGCTGCCTAAAGAGAATGTTTGGTGAATGTCAGATTCACTGCTTAATAAATATGTCCCTAAGTGTGTGTAAGGGTACTTTTGGTGTTTTTTATGGTATTAAATACTCCTTATAATAAACAAAACCACTTTGTATTCTGTAACATTTATATATTTTTGTTTTATTCATTAAAATGTAATACAAGCGTCTTTAAATAGTGTGTTTTTCTATGTTCTTTAAAACAGGTTCTCCACAAGAAAGGCAGGTATTTGAGAAGGCTAGCAGAAACATGCCTAACTATGTCCCCCCCACGGAAAATGTTAGCCCAGGTCCCGATAACATGATGAACAGGAACAGAAATGACTCACCAATGCGGTCATCAACCCCTACACCAAATGCTGACCCGAACATAAGATCATCATCTTCAGCGCCATTCTCAAGTCGTGCAGTGCAACCACCTTCAGGAAATGAAAATCGGCCAGCATCTCCTTCACCAGGTTCATCAGTTACAGAAAGGGAAAGGTCATCTTCACCTGCAAGATTCACAGGTCGCACACCAGCTGTGCAGCCTTCAGAAAATGAATTCCGCCCAGCATCTCCTTCACTAAGTTCACTGGTTACAGAAAGGGGAAGGGCATCTTCACCTGCAAGATACATAGGTCGCACATCAGCTGCCCAGCCTTCAGAAAATGAATTCCAGCCAGCATCTCCCTTACCAAATTCAACCACTGCACCAGTTGAAAGACCATCATCACCTGCTCTGTTCTCAGGTCGTCCAGTGCAACCACGTTCAGGAAGTGAATTCCGATCCGCATCACCTTCACCAAGTTCACCAGTTATAGAAAGGGGAAGGTCATCATCACCTGTGCCATTCGCAGGTCGTCCATCCCCTGCCCAGCCTTCAATAAATGAATACCGGCCTGGATCTCCTTCACCAGTTACACCAATCGGAAGACCATCATCACCTGCTCTGTTTTCTGTACGTCCATCCTCTGCTCCACTTTCAGGTAATGGATACCGGTATGCATCGCCTTCACCAGTTACAGCAAGCGGAAGATCATCTTCACCTGTGTCTTTCTCAGGTCGTCCATCACCTGCCCAACCATCTGGAAATAGATACAGGTCTGCATCGCCCTCACTAAATTCATCAACAAATGGAAGACCATCATCACCTGCATCATTCTCAGGTGATTCATCCCCTGTCCCTTTTTCAGGAGTTGGATATAGGCCTGCATCACCCTCACCAGCTGCTCCAGCTGGAAGACCATCATCACCTGCTTTGTTCTCTGGCTATCCGTCACAACCATCAAATTCAGCAAATGCTTACTGGCCTGCATCTCCTTCACCAAATCCACCACAACCTTCCTATTCAACATCTGCAGGGACTGATATTGCTGGGAAATTTAAACTCCTCAGCCCCTTAGTAGTGGGAGATGACATTAACCTGCTTCTGATTCTTAAAAATCTTACACCTTATCACAGACCAGTCAGGGTTAATCTTAGCGCTTCTGCTATTCTCTATACCGGAAGACGAATGAATGACTTATTCACAGATCAGAAGTCTTTGATTATCAGCCCAAACCAAGGTAGGTGAAATAATGTTCTATTGCATCAAATGAAAGCTAAAATTATATTTTTTGTGAAAATGTAGTGCCAAGTAATTCATCTTATCGGCTTAGATCACCAATCCCTATATACCATTCTAATGTAATTGTATATTATATTAATATTGTATACACCATTGTAACATTTTATACGCAATGACTCTTCACCCTAATACACAATAGTGACCACATTCCTTTCATGTGGCCACTATTGGGCATTAGGGCGAATACAACAGTCATGGTATATAAAATTATACAATGGCAGTAAGATGGTTCGGTTCTTCTTATATTAAATATTAAATTACATTTTCTGATGTTAAACTGATATTACCAGAACTTAATGTCACTAGTCATAGTAAGCTTTTTTTGCTGCCATTCGTTTCCCATTGGGGAGATTTTCCTTTACTTCCTGTCCAACAGCCACACAGGAAGTGAGAGTACATTTCTTCAAAGTAAGGGAAATTCCTGGTTGTCAGCAGGGTCACCAGAACTAGTGTTCCATTGGTAGATTGTCCATCTATTCCTGTTCTGATTGTTGGTTATGTGTTTAGATGAAGCACTGAGATCTTGAGGAATGCTAAATTAAGTTTGACTTGCTTAGAAAAACATTACCTGTATGCATACAGCATTGTGCAGAAAACAGCGGATAAAGAACAAAACTTCCTGTGTATCATAGATAAGCATGCACATAGAGAGCAACATTGCACTACAGTGCCATCTACAGCTCAAATGACAAATCAGTATATGCTGTTGCATTTCCAACGGTGATGACAACCCAAAATGTGGGATTTTTTCTCACTGTCACTATAACGATCACCAGGACAAATAGAGAGGGAAAATCTCTCTAATGGGCACACATTCTAATCCTTCTCCGATACTCCAAAAAGAGGATTGGCTTCAGTTGCACTTTAAAGCACTAAATCTGTTTTTTTGTTAAGTAAAGTGAGAAATTAGGAAAGAGAGGTACAGGCAGCAATAGAAACATTGTCAGAAGTTCAAACCCTCCCTCAGTCGACTAAAAATATATTTCTGTTTTTGTCCGTGGCCCTGTTGGAGATATTTCCGAACACTTTTTGTCCTGAAAGGGTTTGAAGAAAAAAATCTCCCCATCAGGGACACAGACGGCAATAAACAGAAGCTCTGATGCTTCCCCGCTCTATCCAAAATGAAATAAAAAGTTTGGGCTGGGGTTGGACTTTAAGTATTACTGTACAGGAGGTTGCATAGAGTTACACCTGAAATTTAGCGCATAAAGGACGCATCCACTCGCTGTAATCTTCATTCAAAGGCTTCCTTGCCCACTTTTATTAAATAAAAGTTCACAAAACATAACAATTACCCTCGCAGGGGTTCTTTAGCATCTCATGGCAGCACCTGCCCATCCAGTCTCCTGGCTTTGCATTGGCAGGACCGCTGCTCCGGCCTCAGTCCACTGTCTGTTCCTCCAGAGAGCCTCAGTCATGTGCTAACCTGCACACTGGGGGTTCTTCCCAATCTGCAGCACCATGCTGCACTGGACTCCACTCCGACTCCGGGGTGGAGCTTTCCTGTCTCCCAGGTGGAGTATTGAACTTCCCAACAACTTTAATTTAAAGGCTGTGCACACCTGGGCCATTAGCATGCGCTGGCCACTCAGATTCTGTACACAGGAATGGAGATAACACAGTGGCATTGCCACGTACTGCCACAATATATATATACAATTTTTGTATCTATTTATTTTTATAATTGACCGAAGTGTTAATATGCTATTCCCATGTATAAGGGGGACTCCATAAAAAATAATGGTTGCATCCCTAAAATGAATGTGAGCAATAAGCTTAGACATACATTCCAATGTTTGTGGCAATGCACAAACATAGCTGTGAATGTCCCCCTATGTTGATTTTGCAAGCCATAACTGCAGTTATATAAATGTCCACCAGACTGCACTGTTTCACTGTATCTAGGTTGGGATAGACCCAAGAGGCATGTAAAGGAAGCACAGTTATCTCTATTTTATTTTTAATAGATATTTGAATAAATCCTAAAATGACACCATTTTAAAAGCATTATTTTATAAAGTCTTTAAAAAGCTTGAAGAGATAGATTCTCCTTATTTTGACAATGTACAATGTGATTGGCCAAGAATTACTGAAAGACAAATGTGTAACTAAATGCCACATTTGATACAGTGCAAATCTGAACAGGTGTCAGGGGGTATTTAATACAAAAAACTTCAAATGTAGCCATTTAATAGAAAAAAGTATAATCTCTTCCTTTCAAGTAAACCATTTACAAAACTTGGCCAGTTCCGACTGATCATGTGATAGAAGATATATAAGCAGAAGTTACTTTCAGTAACACCCCATTCCAAAATGATGAGTAGATTTAGAGATACAGGTAGCTGAAATAATATGCAAACATCAACTTTCCTGTGAAATGTCAATTCCTCATATGCAGTGTTTCATCATATGCTCAGTCTGCGTTGCCTGGATTTGTGGCAGGTTTACTTTAAAGTTGAACTCCGGCTATAGAAAATGTTATATACTTGCATTGGTCCAGCTTGACACAATGTAAGCAAATATAATTGATCCCTGGTAGGGCTGAAATTCAACTAGTGTATGCAGGAGCATCCCACGTCCGGATGTCACCCAGAGAGGAGACCGGGTGACACCCCGCTGTGACATCATCGCACATGTGCGAGAGGTCACCACGCGTGTGCGCGATGACTTCTTGGTGGTGGATGCCGACAGCGTGAGGAGGGGACATTCACCCGGTGGGATGAGGTATGCCACCGCGTCCCCTCCTCTCTTCTGACACTGTCGGGCTCTCAGTCCATGACCGAGTGCCCGACTTTTTAGAGGGGATGACACCAAAATGACTGACAGTCACCCCTCCAATGGTGTCACTCGGGTGCGCCACTGGTATATGGCCAGCTTTAGGATGAACTCTGGGTAAAGAAAAAAAACTTACCCTTGCAGTGGAGCTACTTCCGCACTGAAAGGCTTAAGTGCTTGTTTTGTCTGGAGGGCTCCAATAATGAAGATGTACTCACCTGATCCTCGGTCCCCTGGTGGTCAGCACTCTCCTCTCACCCCCTTCTCTCCAGCTATATACTGTCCATCTTCATCCTCACGTCTAATCCAGGTCAATGGACCTCCATAAGATGTGATGACATCAGTGGCCCTTAGACCACCAGAGCTTAGGGGAAGAAGAGGCTCGGGCGAACGGTCTAGCAGCCCAAATGGAGCTGGTTGGGACCGAGGATCAGGTAGGCAGATTTGTTTAGTGCTAGCCTAGCTATAAATTTTAAGCAGAGTATTAAAGTGCACATGTCAATATCTGAAAGGGTGAAATAGCTAGAAGAGCATACAGGTCCTGTGATTTTCAAGCACCACTCATCCCATACTGAAGCATCTCTCCTACCGAGGAAGTCCACAAGGTGGAGGTTGAAACAAATAGGATTGCGTGAACCAAATGTTGTCAGAGTAACATCAAGTAGAGTCCAACAGATGAGAATACTTGTACATGTTTGCAGGTCAAGTGCACTGAGGGATGCTAAGCAGGAATGGATTAAAGAACACTTGTTGAATGTCTCCTTTTGGCTTCCATGTGAATGAATCTCACAAACGAAGGGTAGGCATCAGCAAGTGATAAACAGTAACCCATCCAGAAATCCATTGCTGCAGGTCACTTTAGCAACTCACAAACCCAAGCACACTGCAGTCTACAAATATAAAAAAATAAAAAATATAAAACTAGTAAAAAAAAAAAAAAGCTAATTACTGTCCCCAGTGCATCACACAATGCAGTGCAGGTCAGCAACAACCTATAGAATGGTGTCCGTCATTGTAGTGAAGGATATACTGCGGACATTTCTTTACTTCATGTATCCCTGGATTTTATGGAAGAAATATTATGTATCCTTCTGCTTTTATTTATGTTTTAGAGCTATTTCTTATTACCTTTATTTTGTTTCCAGATGCACATATTTCCTTGCAGATACCCTACTCCCATTACAGCAGAGGTCTTAATGAAGGAAACATGATTCAAGTGGTTGCCCTTTGTGAATTACCTTTTGGATCGAAAATAGTCATCACTAAGGATCTTGTGCTGGAGAACCCACCGATTACTATTAAGGTAATACAAAAAGACAGTATCTGTATAAATAAGACACATAACTTATTAAAAATATATTTAGGAAAGTCTGGTGCCATCGCTTGCAAGCAAATGAAAAACGGCAGTGCAAGCGTGTATTGAAGTATATTATGTATTATAATATAATATATTAAATATACAAGTCTGGCATATGGAGGTATATAACGGTAGCAGGTAAAGTGTGCTAAAGATTCTGCTCAACAGTCGTTCAATGACCATACCATCCAACGTTCTGGGAGGAAAGAGGCACACCTTTTAATAAACAGTATATAAGCATAGTATAACTACAGTAATAAGTATAACTCAGGCAGCTGCAATGGAGCCCAAGAATAAGGGAAGGCCCAGCAGGGCTCAGTGTAAGTGGAACAAAATTGGCTGACACTTCTTTAAAAATCTTTGAACACAGCTCCATGCATTTGTTTCTCAGTCTGAGCTGTCTTCAGTGATCCAGTTCCTTAAATATGACATCGCAAATCGCATGATTGGGCTTTTCCAGTCATCTCTGGCTAGAAAAGTAACATAATGCTTCCCTGTAGGCCCTTTAGAGAAATATTTCTGTCTCTACTCAGGGCTATCTAGGACAGTCTCTTCCAGGACAGTCTTTTAGGGTCTGCAAAGCCGTCGCTTAGGTCTCGTTCACACCTAGGCGTATTGCATATGCGCGTCTTTTACCGCGCGATTCGCGGTAAAAAAGTCGCCCGACAAACACGCGTTACCGAAGGCTACTTGGCTGTATCCCAATGGAAATGCGCAACAAAACGGCCCAAAGTAGTACCTGTACCTTTTCAGGCGTGGGCCGTTTTGTAGCGCGTTAGGGACGGGCGGAAATACGCCAAGGTGGGAACGAGACCATTGAATACAATGGGATTTATATTTTTGAGCGTTTTGTAGAGCGTTCGTCGAGCGTAGAACACGCTACAAAACGTTCAGGTGTGAACGAGGGCTGAGTGTCTCCAGGATAGTCCATGACTAGCCTCCCTTCCAGGACAGTCTTAAGGTCTTTAAGGCAGTATATTAGTGTCTCCAGGACAGTCTTAGGCTGGGTTCACACCTAGGCGTATTGAATATGCGCGTTTGTCGCGCGTTTTTAACGTGATTCGCAGTAAAAAAAAACGTGCGACAAACGCGCGTTTCCGAGGGCTACTTGGCTGTATCCCAATGGAAACGCGAGACCAAAACGCCCCAAAGAAGTACATGTACTTCTTTGGGCGTAGGCCGTTTTGTAGCGCGTTCAGACGGGCTGAAATACGGAAAGGTGTGAACCATACCCATAGAAAACAATGGGATTTTCAAGTTTGTACGTTTTGTAGAGCGTTCATAGAGCGTTGAACACGCGACAAAACGTAAAGGTGTGAACAGGGCCTTAGTGTCTCCAGGATAGTCTCTGACTGGCCTCTCTTTCTGGACAGTCTTTGGTGTCTCCAAGGCAGTCTCTTAGTGTCTCCAGAACAGTTTCTTAGTGTCTCCAGGATAGTCTCTTACTGTTCTCTCTTCCCAGACAGCCTTTTAGTGTCTCCAGAGCAGTCTCTTAGTGTCTCCAGAGCAGTCTCTTAGTGTCTCCAGGACAGTCTCTTAGTGTCTCTAGGGCAGTTTCTTAGTGTCTTCAGGATAGTCTTGTACTGTACTCTTTTTCCCAGACAGCCTTTTAGTGTCTCCAAAGAAGTCTTTTAGTGTGTCCAGGATAGCCTCTTAGTGCCTCCAGGACAGTCTCTTAGTGTCTCCAGGACAGTCTCTTAGTGTCTCCAGGACAGTCTCTTAGTGTCTCCAGGACAGTCTCTTGGTGTCTCCAGGAAAGCCTCTTAGTGTCTTTTGGACAGCTTCACCCTCTCTCTACAGCAAGAGAGGAAATAATGTTTCCCTGAGGGCCCATTGGAGAAGTTTTCTGTCTCTCCCAGAGCTTTCTCTTCCCTGGACAATCTATTAAGGTTTCTAGACCAGTTTCTTAGTGTCTCTAGGACAGTCTCAAGTTTCTGCAAAACAGCTGCTCCCCCTCTCAGACTGGAGAGAAACAGGATGCTTCCCTGTAGGCCTTTTCAAAGAGGTTTTTATTTTGCTCCTCAAGGCTCTTCACTACTGTATTTCTGAACCTAGAGCAATCACTTAAGGTCTCCAGGACAGTCTCTCCTTCTCTCTATAGTTTTTTTCTATTCTCGAATGGAAGAGCCCACTGGCAGATTGTCAAAGTAAACAATGACTAATATTTGTTTATGCAAATGAGTTGGGCAACTTACTGCGTTTTCAATCATACATCAGATAAAAAGATATCACAGAAAACAATTAAATGTGATCACTTGCCCACACCCACTCGCAGGCATGTGGTTACACCTGTTTGGGAAAGGCACTTACAAAAGAGATTGCTGCTGTAATATTGTAATCTTGGCTAATCAATTCATGTAGAAGTAGTAATTATGGAAATGCCATTTGTTACAGATTGGGGGCTACCACCCGAGGGGTACAGGGAGGCCAGATGATATTTGAGATATTGACATCTAATACTCGTCCCCAAAAATCAACCATCACGCTGGCCAATTATCACAAGAAATCCCAAAGTTCCCCAATCCAGACACAAAGTAGCGACAGTAACCACAACATGCACATCTAAGTGGCCCCCACTCACAGCTTACAGGTTTGTGAGCAACTTTGCTCCTGACCCCTCAAGCCGGTACACTCTGCTCTCCAGTGGATGAACACCAGAAGACAATATTACTTCATGAACTACCCACTCACAGTCTCTTACCACTAGCCCCCAATACTGTAGATGAACACTCACCAAAAATCTAGCTCGATGGACATACACAGGCAGATGCAGATCTTGCATGCAATCTGGTGCACACCAATGGTTCTGTGGTAGATAGATGGTTTCCCCAAGCTATCTTGTGAGCTAGGATCCTTACACAGTGAGCTCTCCAACTGACACAGATACATAAGGCTGGGCACACACCTTACAACCATCGCAAGACTTCTGTCTTGCGATGGTTGTAAGGTACTTAAAAAAACGTACGATCTGCCTATGTTGCATAGGCAGATCGTACTTGCGATGATCGCAAGCCACGCCCCCTGAGGGGCGGGCTTCCAATGACTGCAATGCCGAACGGGCAGTGTGCGCTTGCGCACACCGGCCCGTACGGCTGTTATCGTACGGACATGCCACAAACCCACCGAACATCGTACGATGCTCGGCGGGTTTTCGAACATGTCCGTAAGTTTAAAGTCGTGCGACCTTACAGTAGTAGAGGTCGCACGGCTTCCACACCTTGCGATAATCGTACGATCGCGGGATTTCTCGCGATTATGGTACGATAATCGTAAGGTGTGTAGGGACCCTAAGACTCACAGGTCCCAGTCCAGCAAACATTATATGTTCCACACAGTGGTTCTAATCTGCACGCAATCAGATTGGACATCTTGTCCTTGGTCAACCAACTGCTGCTAAACAGAGAACATGATGGTGGCTCTACACAATGCATTCTCACACAGACTAGCAGTGACTTACAACCAAGCTTATAGGCTCTGAAGATGCACTATAACTACCCACAACAGTCTCATTTAATGTGTTTGTTCTTCAGTGCAGGGGTCTCCAAAATATGGCTTGTGGGTCACATCCAGCCCAATACAAGATTTTATCTGGCCCACGGCAACACTGACTAGCTTTGTATCATAATACGAAGACTGATGCATCCACTGCCAGCCAGCCATGGTCCTTCTCCAGTCCCCAGCACAGCTCCCCCTTCCTGCACCGTGGTTGGTTGCTAGCACTGCCAGTGTCCTAGCATCCAATGACATGATTGTTGCACACCCTGCCCTGCTGGTTTGCCACCTGAAAAGTAAGGGAGGACTCTGCTAGGCACACATGAATTTAAGGTGGGACTGTGCTTGACACACATGGATGTAAGGCAGGACTGTGCTGGGCACACATGGATGTAATGGGGGACTGTGCTGGGCACACATGGGTGTAAGGGGGGACTGTGCTGGGCACACATGGATGTAATGGGGGACTGTGCTGGGCACACATGGGTGTAAGGGGGGAGTGTGCTGGGCACACATGGATGTAAGGGGGGACTGTGCTGGACACACATGGATGCAAGGAGGGACTGTGCTGGGCACACATGGATGCAAGGAGGGACTGTGCTGGGCACACATGGAAGTAAGGGGGGACTGTGCTGGACACCCCCAGATGTAAGGGGGGCACTGATGGGCATTTCTGGATGTAAGAGGCAACTCTGCTGGTTACTGTTGGATGTAAAGGGAGGATATTGGTAATAACCTACAAAACTTCATAACTGTGTAAGACCCACATTTAAATATCTCCCCCATATTTTACCATAAAACTGGCATGTTTGTTGCCAAACAACTTCTTTTTGTGCCACCAGACTTTTACAGAAGGTTTTATGATAGTGTGCTGCACGGGATGGAACACACACAGTAGCTAAACAACACCTAACTGTGAAAGCACACAAATTAATTTACACATTTGGCCTCTCCTGCGCACTATACTGTTAAACATATTCTGAATGGACTATTGGACACTGCATTGCTAGAATGTCCTGCCTATTCTGAACTAACCTTTTCCTCGCTGGATAAAAAATGTTTTATGAAAATATACCTTAGAACTACTCCCACTTAGCTGGATCATGACACTGTATTTTTCAACACTAACTATAAACTGTCAACGGGGGGATTATCTGCACCATGGGCCCAACAGAAGGACCAGAGGTGCAAATTACTTGTTAAAGTTTCTGTAAACCCTAAAGCTAGATATATAGATGGCTTGAATTCTACCAGAGTCCTGCTAAATTGGCTGTCAGCAACACCCAGCTCAAAAAATTTCAATTGAAAAATTGAATGGGCTAGGTGGAAAATTCTCACTATCTGTCTGAATATAATAGCTGGCATACACTTTAACCTCAAATAGGTAAGAATAGGAGGCTATGTAGAAACCACCCTTTTGATTGACTGTGGTCTTTCTTTTGCCAGCCTCTATCTAATCCTATGCTGCACAAAACAATGACTCTGGAGATCCGGTTTACAAACCCACTTCAAATGGCAATCACCGACTGCACCCTGGTGGTGGAAGGCAGTGGTCTGGTTGACAGACAACTTCTAGCAGTGTAAGTATAATAACCCCTACCAGTATATTCTGTTACCAACCTTTAATATTTTGACTGTTATACAGTATATATGACTGAGTTTATTGATGCAGAGTATCATTTAATTTGAATATTTCAGTACAATTAAATGTTGAATACAGGATGTTTTTGTTTGCAGAGAACGCTAGGCTCTCTTTTTTAAGCTCTAGTTTCTGCACTGATATTAGTTATTGTAGGACGGTACTTGTCTGATGTAAATTGCATAGCATCAAGGGTAGCAGCTATAGCATGGGTGGCTGTGCCCATGGCTCTGTTCACTATTTTAGGAATTCTTGTCTTTTCCATTGTCTGAATTAATGGGTAGAAACAGTAACTTAGACAAAACTTTAACCCTTTTGTCTGAGTATAGACCTATGTTTACCCCAAGCATGTTGGATTCACACCACTGCAGTTGCATTTTTTTTTACATGTTGCATTGATGTGCAGTAAGCAAGAGCATGTGCAGCAAGAGCAAAAATACATACATGCATACATTTTACTTTCCCTATTTAAAGTGTTGCAGGACATCGTCACACATTGTATTGGGCTGCAGTGTGCCGCACTGCATTCAAATACAGCATGTTCCGTTTTCACAAAGTGCACACCAATGTTGGCATGGTCTGAGGCTTTTATTATTGCACTGCACTTGGGCTGAGAAATGCAGCCCCATGCAAGTGTTGTGATTGGGCTCCTTTCTGACAGGTGGTGCAATCAGGTCGGCCTGCCAGTTTTTCAGGCAGACCTGATCTGATGCCCAATGTAAAGGTGCCCATACACTGCTCGATTCTCGTACGAGAATCGGGCGAAATCCCGCGATCGTACGAGAATCGAGCAGTGTGAACTAAGACGTGCGACCGTTTCTACTGTACGGTCGCACGTCTTTTCTCGAGCCAACATGTTCGAAAACCCGCCGAGAATCGTACCATTCTCGCCGGGTTTCTAGCCTGCTCGCCCGATAGCTGCGGAACGGGCCGGTGTGCGCACGCGCACACTGCCCGTTCTGCATTGCCGTCATCGGAAGCCCGCCCCTCAGCGGGGCGGGCTTTCGATGATCGCAAGTACGATCTCCCCGTCCAAGGTGGGCAGATCGTACGGGCTTTCACGAAGCATACGACCATCGCAAGACAAAAGTCTTGCGATGGTCGTAAGGTGTATGGGCACCTTAAGTCTATGTTCAGAATCTGTACACAGACCCAATATACAGGTGTCTATTTACATCCAATTGCCCCCAGCTGCGGCCAGGTCCGGAAAAACAAATGGAACAGTGTTCCATCTGCTGGACCTGATTGTGCCGGATCGAGGGTAATCTGATGTAAACGGTCATATGTCCGTTTACATCCAATTCCTCATAGACCAACATGAGGTATGGTCATTTCAGTTTTTCTCTCCATCACAAGATGAAGTGGAAAATTGGATGGACATGGATATCACAGCGGTGACACACGATCCATACTGCTCCGATCAGAAGGGGATCCGTGCACAGATCCTGTCCTCATCGGACAGTGTGAAAGGGGCCTGATTGTTGAGTGGCTCACTACCTCTGCTGGTTGTCTGTTCCAAGCATCCACTACTCTTTCAGTAAAATAATACTTTCTAAGGTTAGTTTTGAACTTTCCTCCTGCTAGTTTAATGTCATGCCCCAATGTTCTTCATCTTAGATTCATATTGAAAATACTGCCCTCCTGAACTTTATTTACATAATTAACGTATTTAAACGTTATTGTCTTCTCCCTTCTTTCCTTGAGGCTGTACATAGAGTTTAAGTTACTCCAGTCCCTCCTGATATGTTTTTAACCCTTAGATCTTTCACTCATTTTGTTGCCCATTTGGATGCCTCATTGCAGCTTTTTTATTTCTTCACCACAAGTTTGTTGCACTACATAAGTTATTTGTGCATATGGTAGGTGAAAGTTGAACACTGAATGCATGGCCTCTCTGCAAACAGGAATGTAAATACTTACATCTCCCCACTTTCAACTTCACTAAACGCCATTTTAATGGAGATCACTGCCTGAGGAATAGAAACCAACATTTCCTGGGGTGTCAATCTCATCTCCTGCTATGATTTGTGGTTCCTACCACCAACCCCTATGGCAGTATTTTATCTCTTATAGTGACGTATGGGTTGGCATGAGAAATTAGAGTCAGTACTGCAGGGCCAGGAATCTGATACTTCCAGAAGTGGCAGCAATTTCTCTTCATCAGAGCAGTGTTTGGCAGTTTGGGAATCAGCTGCCTACCTGAATATACTGAATGACCAGGTTTTTCTGTCCATGGATTTTTTCTTTGCTGATGGCACGGGCATATTCCAAGATGACAATGCCAGGATTTATCGGGCTCAAATTGTGAAAGAGTGGTTCAGGGAGCATGAGACATCATTGTCACACATGTATTGGCCACCAGAGTCTAGACCTTTACCCCATTGAGAATATGTGGGATGTGCTGGTGAAGACTTTACACAGTGGTCCAACTCTCCCATCATCATTACAAGATTTTGATGAAAAATGAATGCAACTCTGGACGGAAATAAACATTGTGACATTGCATAAGCTTATCAAAACGATGCCATGGCAATTGCGTGCCATAATCAAAGCTAAAGGCGGTACAACTAAATATTGGAGTGTGTGACTTTTTTTGGCCAGTCAGTGTGTTTTCTTTCTTCTTTGCCGGTACACCATGTATTCACTGATTTTATTGAGAGATTTGAAGACACTCTGCTTTACATTTTGCTTTAGGACCCAGAGGAATCTAGCTATGCCCTAATTTTGTTTTAAAGGGGGACTTTACATATATTTTCTAAATACCAACAAAGGCACCTTTAGAAATGTTTAGTAATGGCAATCTACAAACACATACTTCTAGATAATTGCAGGTTTCCTTTTCTTTGCATACCTTATTTTTCTTTTCCTTTCCATTCTTCTCACAGTGGCCATTTTAACTAAGGGCAAATAAATCTTAGTGGAAGAAAATGCCTTTCTTTGAGATCTCATGAGATTACAGATGAGATTTCCCAGCAATGCACTGCTTCCCAGGATGGGCAACACTTGGGCACATTACATCACTTTTGCCAAAGAGAACCAGGGCTGGACATGCATACTGATGTGATTTTTAGCCAAATAGGGTAAAGGTCCACTTTAATATCATGACTTCTAATTTATTTTCTTATGCTTGATACAGGGTCCCCTACTTGAAGCCAAAAGAGAAAATAAAGTTCAAGGTGGAGCTAACACCATACAGGCCTGGAACAAGACAACTCATAGCCAACTTCAAATGCAAATATTTTTCAATTAAAGGATACCAGTCGTTGAATGTGGAGTCCTGGTAACCAACCCTCAGCGTCTTCTAACCATGACACATGTACTGTTTCTCCAGGAAACTGTTAAATTTGAAGTCTTTTTTCATTAAAAGAGCCTATAATTTTTACAGCATAGCTCTACTGCAGCACAATGCTGACTGTTTAAATACATAGGGGGGGGAAATTTATCGAAACTAAAGCAGACAGAATCTGGAGCAACTGTGCTTGGCAACCAATCATATGTCATTTTCACAGCGTAACTATACAATCTGCAGAGAGAAGCTGATTGGTTACTATGGGCAACTGCTCCAGATTCGGTCTGAATTGTTAAATCTTTACTATTGCACTATTAGTGGAAATGCGTGCAAAAGAAAAGTATGTTAACTTGATTTACTAATTACCATACAGTATTAGAACAAAAAGATACACTTGCAAAAAGCGGAATGCAATTCACTCTCATTTGATTTTTGAATGCTCTAAAGTTAAAGCTAAACTTCACGCACAAAAACTTTCATTTATATATATTCCTCCATAGCCACAAAGCAAAGGAGTCGACTTTTTGTGCACTACATGCCTTTACAAACACAGTTTGTGACATTAATGTGCTGGATATAACCAATGCAGAGAACAGAGCTGTGGGAGGTACCCAGCAGGTCCAAGCATTCTGTCTGCAAGAATAAGCCTTAGCTGCACTTTGTTCTGCTTAGTTCTGGAACATAATATTACCCGAAGGGGTAAAGCCGGTTGACCCACTTACGGTATGTGCTTATATTGCAAAACTTTTACATGTATATTTTATATAAGAATTGCAGTTAGCTTTCAGCAGGTTGCTATTGCAAAGCACTGTCTTTAAAATATTAATAAATGGAATCTGCTCAAGTGAAACAGCGCAAGTGAAACAGCGCACTGCACCTTCAATAAGGTAGTAGCGCTCCCTTATCCATGTGTATTCTTTAAAATATTATGTAATCAAATTATAGTCAGCAGTTGCTAAAGCTTGATTTGTTTCAGCAATTGTTTGTTGAAATATTCAGTCATATGTAGCATTGCATTTGCAGATAATAAACATGTTTACTTGTATGTTGTAATTCACAATATGTAAGAGGAACTGCCTGTTAGTTTTATTGTATGTTTGTTAACTGAGAATGGAAATAAAGTATTACATAGAATATCAATCCAAACTAAGATATGAGAATGCTTAAGGATTGAAATGAAAATGCTATAACAAAGACATTGATGTCTTTCTTTGCTTTGGAGTTATTTAAAGGCATGCACTGGGTGCAGGTCCTGCGCCGCTTTGCCGTGATAACCATGTTATTGTGATTGAATGTATCCATGTCATAAGGGTTGACATTGCTGAAAATGTAAGTTTAAGTGCTTTCAGGACCTTGCAGGGTCCCTTCATCAGGCTCAACATCGACCAATCGATGTTGGGCCTGATGAAGAGACCCTGCAAAGTCGCCAAAGCGCTTATTTCTCAATTGACAATCTGTTCAATAAAATGAACAATTGGTGATCCTAAAGATTTTCGGTGTGCTGGTGACATTCCTTTCTACCAAACTTACAGGAGGATTAGACACTGGCAAAAAAAATTGAGGGCCAGACCAAGAGAATGATTTCTACTACCAGTATGCTTCAGTGTTTTGCTAGTGTCTGAGGGGGATAGACGTGTTTTTTTCAGCTCTGCTGGGGGATATCTAACCAAGTTTCACTAGTCGTCTTTTGTTTTTCTTGTCAATTGTTATTTCAGTCAAGATTCCTTAATACATTGCTGCGTGAGAGCTGGTCTCTACAAGGGCAGCTACCCAGATCCACTTTTCTCAGCCTAGTTTTGGAGTGTCGGACTCCCCAGTTAACCATATAGTATTTTTTTTAGGTCCGAAGCTGTTGCTGTTACTTCTGTGCTTGCCCTGTCTCTAAAGACTCATTCTGTGAGTAAGCCGGGCTGAGTATCAGGAGATACCTCTTTATTTCCCGTTGTCTTACCACAAAAGGAACGTTCAGGAAGCATTGCCCCACTGCTGCTTCTGCTTTGCAAACAGCTATTTGTAGCTTCCATCTCCAGTCCATTCCTACTATCCATCTACCAGTAACCAGCTGCCTGGATTTTGTGACTGAGACTGTGCCTTGTACCCTGAGCTCAGTTGTATCACTACCACGCAGCCCCAATTTGTATTTAGACACAGAGGGGGCAGTTCCACTGTCAGGGGCTTCTACTAGTCACATAAAACTTTTTTGCTAAATTCAGCCAGTTCCTTGCTGATGCTGACTACAAACGTTCTAAGCAATCCTGTGCCGTCCTCTACATAGTACATTTCTGATGTCCCTTAGACAAAACTGTTTCACCGATCCCAGTCACCATCTCTGCCACAGATTCTGAGTCCTCTCAGTAACTCTCTGATGAAATTGTTTTTAGGTAATCACAGTCGTCTGCCATTACCTCAAAACTGCAAGAAAATGTTTGGCCCTTATTCATGTGGTATGCACTACTCTGCACTCCTACAGTTTCAAAGACTTTCCCTCTGCACCAGCTCTTTGAAGTATTCCTCCATGATGATTGGAAGCAGCCGAGGGGGCCTTGGAGTCGCTCCTATATGGAATGGAATGTATTAAACAGTGGCCATTACCCACTGTGGATATGACTGTGACCCACCTTAACAGGGAAACCACTAGACCAGGAGAGAATGGTCGTACCTTCAAGGAGTCTACTGACCAGCAGCTGGAATCCCTCTTTAAAACCTAGTTCTTGCTGGCGGGCCCTGCCTTACACCATATTCTACCTGTGGCCTTAATCTGTCAAACTGTGGTGGAATGGGTTAAATCACTTAACAGGGATCTCTCTACTGCAACAGTGGACCTTTTAGTGATAGATCATGTGGATTAGATGTCTGGAGCCCCACACTTCAGCTGTGGTGGCCTCCCGGTAACATATAGGCTTGTATCTCATATGGGGTCTCTTGTCCATACAAATGCACAGAGAACTCTGGTTAAGGTGCTGGGAGGCAAGCACTGTACCCAAGGGGCGCCTCACTCATTTCGTCTTTAAGATACAGCATCTCTTTGGTCTTCCTATTGACATCATCATTACGGATATTAAGGATTAAGGATATTACCTGCCTAAGCCTATGCATTCTAAGGAAAGGTCAGCTGAGTCCAATCTCTCTCCTCTACCTACTCCTGGAAAAGGCATGACTATGCTGTAAGCCTGGATCTCTGACTAAATGTATGGTAGGAAGGGAAAAAAAACAGCTAAACTTCCAGAGAAGCCTTCAGCATTGAGTTGCATGACCTAAGTAGGGGAATGTTTGTTAGCCCTTTAAAGCTCCTAGGTTATTTGCCCTTCTGGCATTCAGGTGCAGAGAGTGCCTCTTCAGGTTTACATGCTAATCCCTTGCTTTCCAGTGCTATGTTCAGCTGCTCACCCACTACCTTCCTGTTCCACTGCACACATTAGCAGATCTATGTCTGTTGCCATTGAATCTCCTAAATCTAGCGATTCCTAATCTATCCCCTGTCCCAGTATTGCTTCAGGAGCTGTGTCCCAATCTTGGCCACTCTCCTCTTCCCCAGATCAAGTGTATCTCTTGGGACATATTAGGCTATCAGTTGGGCCTGCTGTCCATCAGATCCATCACCCCTGTCTCTCGCTAGAGGAACCCTATGTCCTGCACAGTCAGCTCGGGCCAGTACTTGCTGATCACTATCCCACATTGGTTCTGACTCATCAGCCTTGCCCCTACACACCTAGTGTTCTTCAAGGCATTGACTCCGTGTCTGTTGTAGTGCATTCTCATGGCATCCCCATTTTGGGACACTCAGGGACCTCCAGTGGAGAGATAAGAGTTGGTGGAAAGCTACCTGATGGATATGACACCTCCAAGATTGGATCTTGCTTCATCAGGAATCAGAGCTGGAGATGGCCGATTACCTCCAGACAGTTATAATCTGTTTTGTTCTTCAGTTGAAGGGTCTACAGCATATTTGCTTTCATGGCCTTGCCCTTAATCAGAAAGTAACCTGTACTGCAGGAAGGTTGGACATCGAGCGGTGACCTCCTTGAGGTGACCCTTTTCTAACTATCTCTTCTCAGACTACCTCAGCCCTCCCCTCCACTGTTGTAAATCTAGTTCCTGAGCAGACTAGCTTGTCTGCCTCTGAGGATCATGTAGTCCGTGGCCTGACCAGCCTTTCAGTTCTACAGTTTGTGCTCCCCATAAAATAATTTTCTAGTTTATTAAGGAACACAGATCCCACCTCTCTGTGGTTATGATCATGCTCTTGGGGTAGAAGAGGTTATCCTGGGCTGAACTACAATTATGCTGTTTGCCAGTGTCCAATTCTCCAGTAAGCAGCAGTGTAACCCAATAGTAAATTGTTTCCTGTGTCTCCTAATGACTTCAAAAAAAGGATTTTATGATGAGTACATCATTCCTATTTTATTATGTTCCTTGCACATGATTTACAGTCTTCTTCTTGAAAATCAACGCCCACAGTAATTGAACTAGAGGGTCAGCAGGATGACTAGCATCTAGCATTGCCAAGAGAAGTGTTCAACAATGACAGCCTCAATGTTGCTAATATGACAGGTTTCTTTTAAGAAGGATAAAGTACTTAAACACCTGAATTCTTTAAGTGAAAGGGGGAGCTGGGAAGGAGGTCTGCAAGGCTCTGGAACCCACTCTTAACTATAGCACAACTGGGCATGTGTATGTATTGATCCATGTGGGGCAAGCGAAAAGCTTCACTTTGGCATTCCTGTGTTTGAGCCCTATACTGTACACTGTTATGATTAGTAGTCATCATCTGGTAGCCAGTCTGTTGCCCATAATACTAAAGGCCACGCACAAGAAAATATTTTTACTGAGCACTAAGGGAAGGATTTACTAAACAATTACAAGTGTACTGTATATATTAAAGCACCCAAGAACGTAAATGGAAGGTTAGAAAAAAAATAAAATAATTTTACCTAATGGCAGTTGGATCTTTGATGTAAAAGTAATATTTTGCTTGTAACTACTGTGTAAAACACCCTTGAATTCTCAGTATTAGATGGTATAATGCTTTATAATGGATGGGTACAAGACAAAAAATATTTGGATTAAAGCTTTTCTCCATGTTTTTGCCAAATGTATTATTGTAAGTGGACATGTGTATTGAAATTGAACATTTTTCCCTACTAAAGAAAATGGAAATAAAAAATATTTTAAGAGTATGTTTTGGCCTAATTATTTCTACATACAAGTATATAACTGTTTTTCAAAAAGACAACAACATTCAAACATAAATAATTATTTGATTCTAGATGGTCCCTGGTAGATGCGATGGCACATTGACTTGCTCAAACTATTTATCTATCTGTTTCTGCCTATCTGTACTGATGACACGTACGCACACACAAACAACACATAAGCATGCACACATATACTGTAGTATGAAACCATTAACATGCATATAAAGTAACTCCTAGACCTGTTTTTTCCGGGACTGACTTTACCAGGTGTGTCTAGGATGACACATTATTTCATCATGTCCGTTGGTATTCAGTTGTTTTTTATAGCATCCTTTCAAGGTTATTTATCTTTTTCAGTGTTTTGAAACTTTGTGTTAAGGATTATACAAGCTTTAAAGTCAAACACTTTTATAAAAATAAAAATCATATGATAAGTAATAAAAAGTTACTAAACTGACAAAAGACACAAAGGCACACCTCAAACAACCTTTCACAAAATGTTTGGAAATGAGCTTAATGCATTCTATGCACTATAATTAAACTCAGTTAGTGCGAAGGGAAAGAGTACCCGTTGCTGTTTGGTTTTGTTCATCAAAGTGTTTTAAATATTTATTAGTCTAATAAAAAATATGACATCAATCACCCATTGCTGCTGTCAGCTTCATTTGGGTAGGTAGAGTGAATGATATAAAGTAGCTTAGTAAACATTTTATCAATATAATAAGTAAACAACGTTTCTTCATCGGTCAAATTAGGGAAGATTTATAACCAATACAACAAAGACTTGAACGATGATAACCTTTACATGGAAAAGAGACATACAAATGTGGAACTCCTAATATTGTCATTAAGGAGTTTTTGAAATGTCACAATATACTGTATAATTTTACATTCATAAACAGTATCATTATTAGGGATGCACCAATACTGGTACACGAGTACTCGCCCAAATACTCAGTATTGGCACTGGAAGTTCAGATACCAAGTACCCTACTCGGTACAAGCACAGATACTTTTCCAGTTCCAAGACTGGACTAGAGAAAAATTCTAAAGTTAGGAGGCAACTGTCATTTTTAAAGGAGCATACAGAGCTCCTGGGATTTGCGTTTCCTTGTTTTGATGTATGTTTATACATTTTTGTTTAGTGTCATGTGACAGGTTTTCTAAAACAATACAGACTAATGACTTCAGGACAGCGGTGGAGCGCCAGAGCCAGGTCCCAGCTGCAGCCGCTGCCACCCTGGTAGTTCCTGTGAAAATGCCTAGTATCAGCACTAGTATCTGAACTGATATCTGAACATCCCTAGTATCGGTGCAATCATTATTGAAAGTATCACTAAATGCTCGTTTTAAAATGAAAAGCATAATCCAGCACACAGTAGAACACTCCAGCCATTTATTATATTCTTCTGTTTTCTTTTACATATGATTTTTCTCTTCGAGCATCTTCCACCACTGCTTTTTTACGTTAATTTCTGCTGTGATAGGTATGAGCAGTGTGCGCAGGGTCATTGCCTTTTTTGGCAGGGGAGGCAACATTTGCTGGATGGTGTACAATCGATGTGTGGGGTGCTGGTGGAGAGTGACCCCTCTAAGAGCCTGGTGGGGAGATGTCTAAGGGCTCTGCATCTCCCCGCCCAGCTTTTAGCAACCTGGGATTCTCTGGCCAGAAAGGGGGTGGCAGGTACACTGCAAACATTGTGCCCCCGCTTTAACTAAAGAGATGCCGCCTGGGGCAACTGTCTCAGGCTGCCTCATTATAGGGACAGCCTTGAGTGTACTTATATTGCAGTTACATGCACTGCTCTCCTAAAACTACACATTCCACTCTGAAGCCCATGAGTGGTGCTGTGTGAGCAGATACTTTGTGAGCATTTTGTTTGGTACAAGAATGGACTCAGGCAAGTCGAAAGCATCTTAGTTAAATCTCAGGAGCCAATTAAAAACCAAAATAGCTTTAAAAACCAATAAGCACCTTCCCATTAACTTCAACATGTTTTGTCATAATTGTGCAATCTTGCCAAAATCTCACGATTTTTCTCAAATTTTATTGAAATAGAAACTCGTTTAGATGGGTTTCTAGTTTTTAATCAGCCTTAAGATGGCCATACACTTATAGATTATCTGCAGATTTTCTGTGGTCAGATGGAAAAAGTGCAACAAATTCCTCCATCTACGCTAAACTGTGTGGAAGGAGAAATTTCCCACTAGGCCAAGCTTCAGTATCTTGCTAGTTGGCCCCACTGGCTGTCAGAATACCTGAACAATGCCTGCATCCAATCAGATTGTTCAGGTATTTTGACAGCCAGCCAGGCCGACTAGCAAGATACTGAAGCTACTGGGATTACAAAGTGGGTGGTTAATTGAGTAAAAAAACAAAAAGAGATTGCAATAAAAGAGAAAAAAAAAACTTGTAAAAATGGCATAACATTTCTGTCCAGATTTCAATGGAAACAACTGAAAATGAGTATAACACATCTTTTGCTTGATTTTGGACCTTATAGCATCCCCTGAAAGCCACCGTTCCATAGTCTAAAATAAAAACATTTAAGCCTCAGAACACCTGAAAATAACTAAAAGCTTTAAAAAGACCTGAAACGCCCATGCTTGAATGTGAATGAGGGCTTAAGCTGGTAGTATACTATGTGAATATCGACTGTTTTTTAATTAACCCTTCCACCCGGCATCCCTCGATCAGCTGATCGAAGGAAGCGTTTGGAACATTTTTGTGTTCCAAGAACTGTGTTTGCAGCCAATTCAATACAATAGAAACGGCAGGGGAGATTCATCCATTCACGCTCATTAACATGGATGGAGGACAATTAGAAGATTGGATGGAGGTTATATTTTTTTCATTCAGCCCGCCCATGTATGGTCAGTGTTAGTCCTCCTGTGGAGTCACCAAGGTAGTAAACATGACTAAGTCCTGTGTCAATGAAATTTCCTTCACATCAGAATGATTACTCTCCCCATGAAAGTCAATGGAAATGCAATCTACTCTCAAGGGAGTATTGAGTGTTAATACGGAAGCCACAGACACTAGCAGCACTTGGGAGAACATGGCTATCGCTGTATGTAGCGCAGACTACCACAGTGATTTCCAGCATCCCCAGCTGCCCTCCAGATATCAGATATGCATACTTTCACTGAGCCAAGATGGACCAATGTCAGTTCAAAAAAGATAGTTCCTGGAGTCCCACTTTAAAAACGAATGGTTCAGGACTATTGAACAGGGCTGGTGGGGAATTCCCCGCTCACAGCTTGATGTAAGTAACGGGGAAGGATGAAATTATATCTTTGACCTTATATGCCTACATGTTTATATTGGTGAATAACATTTACCTAATATGGCTATGTTGTCATATTAGGTAAATTACATCAGCACAAGCATCCCGCCCCTTTGTTTACAATGCCACTGAGTGAGTGAATGTACTCAAGGCACTTCCTTGTTTGGAGAAGCTCAGGTTTGGAAACGGGTTCAGGCCGAGCCTGAGTTAATCCCTAATGATGGTGATGTGTGCCGTCTTTCAAGAGATAGGAAAAATGGCTTTCTGTTTCCTGAACTAAAAAGAGCCTTCTGACTCTGTCAACATCCCCTGCACCCCTTTCCTCTTTGCAGTTTAGACACTAATGTAAAAAGGGAAAAAGTATTATACATTTTTAAATTTTTTTATGGAAAGGTTATTAACCATTGTATAGGGGGAAACAATGTACACAATATAAACCAGTTCCCTATTTCACACCCCCTTCCCTGGTTTGAGAACCCGGCACTGCATCACATTGTTTTGATTCTGTTCTCTTTTAAAGATATGGCACATTGACAGACATCCCAATTCTTCCGGACGTTCCGGGAGTCTCCCGCTATTAGATAGAGGCTCCTGGACACCCGGGAGAGAAACATTTTCTCCCGGAAAGGTTTACTCTGCAAGGAGCCGCTGGCCGCCGTCAGAGTAAAAAAAAAAAACGGCATAGAAATGAATAGCTAGATTGCTATTGGCTATTTGAATTTGCAATAGCCGATAGCAGACTAGCTATTGCACCCGCCCACTGCTGCTGTCAATCAGCAGAGGTGGACCTGAAGTTCTCCACCAGGTCCTCTCTCTGCTGATTGACAGCAGCAGAGAGGGGGTGCAATAGGCAGCTTGCTATTGGCTACTGCAAAATGAAATTGCCAATAGCAATCTAGCTATTCATTCCTATGCTATTTTTTTATTATTATTATTCTGACGGCAGCAACTGTCAGAATACTAAAAAACAAAAAACAGCAGATAGCACGGGTAGCATTAGCTTCTTTGCTATCTGCCATTATTTCAGGGGGGTCCCCCCCCTCCCAGAAATGAGAAAGACACCTTTCTGAAATTACTTTTTTTCAGGTTGGGATGCCTGCATTGATGTACAAATCAACTGCTCTGTATTTATGTCAGCTGTTGTATATTTTACATAAAAAATAAATAATTATTCGACTTTATATGTATAAGGTACCCTAAAAGTTCCATATAAGAACAAGTTTTATAGTTTGGCTCTGCCCTCCGATATTCCTGCCCACCTACGAGTGTCAATATGATAAATACAGCCCTAAATTTGTTTTGAATCTCTACAAATGTGGCTATTGTCTTTTATCACAGAGGATCCTCCCTCTGGAATTCCTGAGTAACTGATTCAGAAATTGAGCTCTTTCTTCCTGGATTAGGCTATTACACCCATGGTACCTGCAGAGCAGGTAATTTTAATAGTACACAGAATGACTCTGCTGGTTCATTAAGGTCAGATTAAATTTTGTGCTCCTCCTATATCTGTCACTAGTTCAGTATCTAATTGTGTGTCTTTAGTTACTGACTTTATATACCTTCCCCACCTGGATGAATACAAGCCACTGATGGTTAGCCTGGAGTAAATCTATCAGCATTTACACATCGATCTCCCAACAAAGAGCACATCATCATGGCTGGTGAGTAAATTAATGTTTTTGGAGCCAAGTGCCGTAGTGACAAACAGATTACACAGAATTCCTATTTGAGCTTGTCTGTTAAAGTAACTATGATTATAAGCTATTATTATTATAGGTCAATGCACAGTACTTCCTTCTTGACTGAAGGGTGTGTGCTCCATTTGGACCAAAGTTGTTTACTGCAACAGAAGTTTTAGGACTGGTAAACCTAATACTGTTCATACACTCATCAGTTCTTTTTTTTTAGATTTACTTTACATTTCTATTTTTCAATTTTTTTATTATATTTAATACAGCCTCAAGTCCAAAACATTTGGAGCGCTGTGTAATTTCTACATAAAAACAGAATGCAATGATTTGCAAATATCATACAACCCTATTTTTTTCACAATAGACAACATATAAAATGTTTAATCTAAGAAAATGGACCATTTTAACAAAAAAATAAGGTCATTTTGAAATTGATGGCAGGACACGTCTCAAAAAAGTTGGTACAGGACCATGTTTGCCACAGTGTAGCACCCCCTCTTCTTTTAACAGCACTCTGTAAATGTCTGGAAACTGGAGACCAATTGCTGGAGTTTTGGGAGAGGAATGTTGTCTAATTCTTGCCTGATATAGGATTCTAACTGCTCAACAGTATTGGGTCTTCTTTGTTGTATTTTTTTATTCAAGATGCGCCAAATATTGTCAATTGGTGAAAGGTCTGGACTGCAGACAGGCCTTTGAAGCACCCGGACTCTTCTACTATGAAGTCATGCTGTTGTCATAGATGCGGTATGTGAATCAGCACTGTCCTGCTGCAATATGCAAAGCCGCCTCTGAAAAATACATTGTTTGGATGGGAGCATGTGCTGCCATAAAACCTAGATATATCTTTCAGCATTGATGGTGCCTTTCCAGATGTGCAAGCTGACCCATTCCTTACGCACTAATGCACCCCCATGTGATGATAAGGTTCAGAACTGTGTATTGTCAAGTGGGATTGGCGTACAGCGGGTTTGGGCCGGGCGTACGTCACACCCCATACCATCAGAGATGTAAGCTTTTGAACTCAGTGCTGATAACAATCCAGAAGGTCCCTCTCCTCTTAAGTCTGGAGGACGCAGTGCCCATGGTAGCCAAAAAGAATGTCAAATTTTGATTCATGTTACCACAGAATAGTTTTCACTTTGCAACATACCATTTTAAATAAGCTTTGGCCCAGAGAAGACGGCTGCGTTTCTGGATCATGTTCAGATATGGCTTCTTCTTTGCATGATAGAGCTTTAACTTGCATTTTTGGATGGCACGGCAAACTGTAATCATAGATAGTGATTTTTGGAAGTATTCCTAAGCCCATGCAGTGATGTCCATCAGAATCATGCATAATTTTAATGCAGTGCCATCTCAGGGCCTGAAGATCACAGGCATCCAATACTGCGTTTCGGCCTTGTCCTTTGCACACATTATCACTGTAGATGATAATATATTTAAAGTCTTTGCAATTTTACGTTGAGGAGCATTATTCTGAAATTTTGACAATTTTTGGGCGCAGCTTTTCAGATTGGTGAACCTCTGCCCATCTTTACTTCTGAGACACTCTGACTCTAAGATGCTCTTTTTATACCCAATCATGTTACTGACCTGATGCCAAGAACTCACCTGTTTTTCCAGCTCTTCCTTTTTAGTACCACTTACTTTATCAGCTTTTTATTGCCTTGTCCCAACTTTTTTGAGACTTTTTTGTTGCTGCCATCAATTTCAAAATTACCTTATTTTTTTCTTAAAATGGTACGTTTTCTGAGTTCAAGCATTTGATGTTTTCTTTTTTTCTCTAATTTGAATAAAATATGGGTTTATCAGATTTGCAAATGATTGCATTCTGTTTTTTTGTTTGTTTTTTTTAGCAAATAATTTTTATTGAGATATAGTATATCAATATCAATACAAAAACAACCCTCCAGGAGGGTGCAAACAAGAGAGAAAAACATATGCATGGCAGATAAAGATCAACAGATACATAATACAGTCTAATAACCGTTAACCAGCACAAGTGAATCAAGAAGAATAGTAGCGAAAACAGCATTCCCCAAAACCTGACCGTAAAACGACTGTCTTCCCACCCTGAAGATCGTCACAGATTGAGAATAACGAACACATAACAAAGACAGAAAACGGTTTATCACGGCCGTAGACAATGGTATATATGAAGAAATAAAATAAAATACGACATATAATCTTCCACCATGGAGTCCCATGTTCGCTCGGTTGTGGAAAGGGAATACCATCTAAAGGGGCCCTAAAGAACGTCTAAACGACCCAGAGTTCCTGCTATCTTGGATTCCAGGTACCATTTTGTATATTGGAACAATGACATTAAATCTGCTAGTTGACCCGAGGATAGCTCGGTTAAAAAGGAATGTGGACCAAGTAGCAAAAAATTTGGAAGTGTGTTCCTGCGTGAATTGGGCTTCCAATTTGTCAACCGCCATTAATTTGTGCAAGAGCTCCTTTAGTAGCGCTAAAGGGGGAGAAGGTAATAACCAGTTTATGAAAACAGTCTTTTTTGCCGCCAGCAGGGATAAATGTTCCCATCGGGATAGGTGTTTCGGGGCAGGTGTGGAGGAGGGTGTGGGTATAGAATGGAATAGACAAACTACTGGTGAACAGGGCCTCTGAAGCCCCACATGTGTGCTCATATAGGACAGGACTGAAGACCAAAATTGCTGAATGTTGGGGTACAACCACATCAAGTGGTCCAGATCAGGGTATTGCATGAGACATTTAGGGCATGTAGTTAGCCAGTGTGGAGGGGTGCAGGCGTACCGTAAATTGAAGGCATAGAAAGCCCTGTGTATCAACTTGAACTGAATCTCCCTCCATGTTTCACAGATGATAGCCTTCCTGAGGGCCAACCATCCGTTAAGCAACAAAAGATCCGTCTCCTCTACTGGCAACTGTAGGAGTGTCGCCCATCTATGAACATGATTGGGAAACACAGAGGGAGGGTCAGCGCAAACCGATAACTTGAGGTGGTGTAGAAGGGTGGAAAGAGAAACCTTCTGTGTTGGCGAAGCTAAAAGGCTATAGAAAGACGTGTGCGTCATTATAGACCATGGGGTAGGGAGGTAGGTGTGGATAAAGTGACTCACTTGTGCATACTGCAAGAAATGAGTACCTGGGATCCCGTAGGTGCACTGCAGTTCCCTGAACGGTTTACATACCCCTTGTGGAGATAGCAAGTCATTCAAAGTGTAAACACCCTTGGTTTTCCAAAGTAAAAAAACTTTGGAGTCTCTGCCTGGGGAGAAGACCGGAGAAGAAGTGAGTGGCATCAGGGGAGATACCACCCCAGGGATTCGGTACAATTTCCGGACCTCCCTCCAGGCTATAATGGTGTCTCTCAGAAGGAGATTGGTTCTGATAAGTGCGGGAAGAGTTTTCCATGGTGAGTGGAGGACACCCGACAGGGACCAAGGAGATACCATGGCCTGTTCCAAGGTTGTATCAGTAAAATGAGTAGTGTCATGGATCCAATCCCTAGCATGTCTAAAGAGGCTGGCCAAATTGTACATCCTAACATCTGGTAGGTTCGCCCCCAACAGAGACTTGGGCCGTTGAAGTTTGTGCAGGGCTATACGTGGGCGTTTTCCTCTCCAAATAAACGTATTGAAAGCTTTGTAGAGCAGGCGAATATCATCATGTTTGATGAGCAGGGGCACGGTCTGCATGGGGTATAGCAATCGTGCAAAGCTGATCATACGTATTAGGTGGCACCTGCCCAATATGGAAAGAGGGAGGTCTCGCCACCTCTGCAATTCCTGAGTGATTTTCTTGAACAGGGGGACATAGTTAAGATGATACAGGTCCGAGGCCCGGCCGGATAGATGAATACCCAAATAAGTAATGGAACGCCTCTGAACCTGTATGGACATCTCGGTGGGCCAGTGGGATGTATCTATGGGTGTACCTGGGGACAGTGGAAGGAGTTCACTCTTGCTGCAATTGATTTTTAACCCTGAGAACGAGCCGTAGTGTATAATAAGTTCCAGAACTTTCGGCACCTAGGATGCAGGATCAGACAGTACCAGTATGATGTCATCTTTGCGTCAAGAGTTGATCCAGGAAGGTTTTATTCTCTGCATTCGGGCCATAAACATTGCACAGGTGTAACTTGTGTGCCCCCAGCTGCAGGGATAAGAAGGACCACCTGCCAGTGTCAGAATCAAAACAATGAGAGATGACCTTGTGTGCGAGAGATTTGTTGATGAGGGTGACCACACCTGCCGATTTACCTGCTGCAGGGGCACCAAGGGCCGTGCCCACCCAAGATTGCTGCATGCGTGTAATATCTGGTTCCTTAAGGTGTGTTTCCTGGAGGAGGGCGATGTCCACCTTTAGCTTTTGGAGATGGCGTAAGATTTGACGCCGCTTATTGGGAGACTTCAGACCCTTCACGTTCCAGGTAATTATGTTCAAGTGGGGTCCCATAGCATCCGTGCCGGACTGGATAATACTTCAAGTATTATCCCAGTGCTCCCGGATATACCCTGTAATTCAGGTGCATGATGAGCAGCTCGGGGTGAAGAAGAAGAGGAAGGAGAAGGTGCGTGCCATGAACCATAGCATGGGGGCGCACGGCTCCAGCCATGCGGAGGCATACTACACAGGTTGGGGGAAGTATAAATCTTGGTCATGCTGGTTAGAGAACTGAAGAAATGAAAATAAAAATGTAGAAACAAAACAAAAAACATCCATGGTACTTGACTACCTTTTTTCCCGATGCGAGCGGTGAGAGACTGACCACACGTGAGATCGAATCCAGTACTCACGCGGCTGTGTCAGTGTCGTGAGTGCTCCAATAACATTTAGATCGCACCCTCCCGCCATCTTGATGATGTGTAAAACAATAGTGCCCAGACATGCCATAAAATCGCATAACAAGTAACGGCAAATTAACTGCAAGAAGGCATCTTCTAGGCCCAGAACATCTACGCCACATCCGCGCCCAACCCCTC